ATGCATTTGAAAAAGAAAAATTGATATTCTGATCAATTTGTTGTTTTTTTTTTCTCATTTTTTAAATCATCCTTCCATCATTCTTCAGAGGTCGCTCTGTTTATAAGTTTTTATAATCCTTTATCTTCAATTTTATGTTTATTTTTAGATTTTTGGATATTTATGGTGATGGTTGTTCATTGATCCATTTCATTAGAGAATTTTCAGAAACGAATATATATTCCTCTTCCCGAAGCAAATGCACGTAAGGATATGTTCAAGCTGCATATTGGAAAAAATACCAATCATTCATTGACTGAACAAGATTTTAAGGTTATTTTAAAGGCAGTTGGTGAAACTTTGAGGATTTTAAATGAACATTCTAAATTGTCTGCAAAATAATTTCTTAACTTTGGTAAATTGATTAAATTTTATATCATCATCTGCTCATTGATTTTTTTTTGTTTTTTGTCGAAAGTTTTTCTTTGATGATCCTGTTTGTATTGTGATAGACATTGGCTGAAAAAACCGAAGGATTTTCTGGTTATGATATATCCATAGTTGTTCGAGAAGCCTTAATGCAACCAGTGCGGAAGGTGCAGACAGCTACGCATTTTAAATACATATCAGGTCCATCTCGCAGTGATGCTTCGATCATTGTTCATGATCTGTTGACTCCTTGTTCCCCTGGCGATAAGGAAGCAATATCAATGTCGTTTATGGATGTTCCTAGCGACAAACTTGCCGAGCCTGTTCTTTCGATGGTATGTTCCATATTATATTTAGTTATATATATATATATATATCATTAGGTATTTTTAGTCAACTTTGAATGCATTTGCTGATAATTCCAGAGCGATATGCTACGATCTCTAATGAATACAAAACCAACAGTCAACAAAAACGATATGGATAAGCTATTGCAATTTACAAAGGATTTCGGCCAAGAAGGATGATGAAAAAATTTTGATATATATATTACGTTGTTCACTTTTTATTTCCTTAATTGTAACTGTTTCAATGAGAAAAAAGTGGTGTATATTTATTGCCATATTTTCTTATATGGCGTATTGCTTCTTTTATGCCGTTAAAATCAAAGCTAGTTGAGAAAAATGCATAGTTTCAAATCGTTTCATTGTGAAATCCGGCATTTTCAAAATTTGAGACACTATTGTTGGAGTATAGTTGGCAGAATGATTTCTTTACATTTTGTTGTGTTTAGATTTTGTAATTTTAATCGGAGTACATTTTTGCTTTCAATTATAAGTTTTAAAAAGGGATTTTCAGTAATTCTTGGTAAATCAGCATGAAAATTCAGAAAAAAATTGAAATTTCTATTTCAGTTGCTATTTTGAACTTCCTTTACTCAGTTTTTTGCACGTGCTTTTTTTGATTGGTTTTTAATCGTAGCATCCAGTTGAAATGTTTTGTAAAGAAGAATTAAAATTCAGTTCCTAGTGCCATTTGAAAGGATAAGTCTGTCAGCAAGTCTGTCAGCAACTGTTGATTCTTACAAAAATCCAGCCGAATAGCGAAGTTAAAAATCTTAACTTGGCTTTTCTTTCAATAGTTGATGAACTTACGTTTGCATATAATAGAACTAACTTGAATTGAAAACCAGTAATATAATTTTTGCTAACGGTGGTCGTTTGATTTACCGTTGACTGACTGCAATAAATTACGATATGAATCGGCGGTTGAAGAATCAAAGAATCGGCGAATATTTTAATTTTTAGATTTGAAGCTAAAGTACTTTTCTTTCTCAAGAACTATCCGATTGAAGTTGTGCTGTGTTTGATTTGCCAAGGAGAGAATGGCTGAGTCGCATGTTGCTTCGGCGCATAAAAATAATCGACCTATCTTCTTCCCTTTGATGAAGGTGAATCTGTCATTAAAAGTAAAACCCGAATCGTGCAAGGGAAATGACGAAGGAGACAGTCAAATTAGAAATAGTGCACTTTGAGAGAATTAGGAGAATTTCCTTGATAGGATTTAAGTCCTAAAATTTCCTGAAATGCGTCACAAGATTTCTATAAGAATTTTTTGAATAAATTTACAAAATTTTCACTCATCAATCATCAATATTTATTGTTGTTCATCTAGAGAAAAGCCGAAGGATTTAGAAAAAATCAATGAATTAAGACTGGAAAATTTGAACTTTTAAAACATTCGGCAATTCGTTTATTCTGGATATAAAATCGATACGAAGCAGCGATAAGCAAATATGTCAATTGAGTTCTCTTATATAATGAGCAAGGCACTCAACGAAAATGGAACCGTTTGGTAAAGTTGTTCTAGCAGATCGAATGCAGTGCAATCAGTGGCAGTGGATGTGTAGAAATGGTGAATGCATCGCGCAGTACGATTACTGTAATGGTATTGCTCAATGTAGTGACGGATCCGATGAAATGGCTGGTTGTGAAACGCGGTAAGATTATTTGGTTTCAAATATTCGTTATATTTGTTATCCGCTTTGTTTTTGAAACACTGCATTTTCATAATGCGAAAATTTTCCTAGTTGTTCACGGATTCAAATTTGAGGGATTTTTGAGAGGTTCAGATTATTTATATTGTTGTTCAAAACGTTTAACAATGACAGTGGCGAAAATGCTTAAAGCAACTTTGGTTAATTGGTTAATGCCAACCATTTCTGGTTAGAGTTGCTCTTCCTGGTTAGTACGGTTAGAAATTTTTGTCAGAGAGCCACTTCTAAACCGTACTAACCAGGAAGAGCCTGGTTAATACGGTTAAGCACAGGAGGATCCATCAGCATCGTTCGGTTTTGAACCGAATTTGATGTTTATTACTGGGACAGAATCCCATCCTTTCCACGATAAGCTGAATTACTTGTCCACTCGCGGCTATACTCAATCAACAGAATTCATGTTGAAAATCAATGGTTCCTAATTAAAATATCACTAGCTGAACTCATCCCTCCTCTCTCACCTTGAACTGGTTGAATTTTTACTGGACCCGGTGGTTCTTCAGTTCTACGCAACCCTCGTATGAAAACCGATCCAAAATAGAGAGAAAATACTCTCTCAATAACATTAGAGGAGAAAATAATATTCCTTCGACGACGGCTTGGATAGGCTCGTTTTTAAAAGGGAATATCTAAAGTTCTGCTTGCTGGTTTATTTTTTATATTCAATAAAGCAACTTTCCTTTTAAAATTATCGAAATTTTGTGGGGAAACGAACAGTCACATGCAACGAACTCTCAAATTTGGGTGATTTTTTTTTTTTAAATCACTTAGAAGAACAAAAATACTAAGTAGTTAAAAAACAAAATGAAAAACGGACACAAAAACAAAAAATAAACAGAATACGAAAGAATCAAATTTAGTTGTTCAGATCCGACCACATGGCTTGCGTAAACTCCACGTTAATGGCAACTCAAATTTAACAGATTCTAAGACCGCTTTCAATTTGAGCTTTTTAATGACTGAAATCAATTAGACAAAGTTCATCTCTTTAGCGTAGATGGATAGGACGATTCTTCTTACCGATATATTGATATATAAAAATTTATTTAAAATTAAGTAATATATGAATGTAGAATAATAAAATAATGATTAAATGTAATGATCAACACAGAGCACTTGTTGGCACTTTATTTTAATACGGTCATTTTGCGTTCTTTATGGTTTCATGGGGCCACGAGTTTGACCGTGCTTATATATATTGCACTGGGTCGTGCTGTACCTTGCACTGCATGCTATTCTTTTCTGCGTGGCTGCTGATTCACTAAAAGTCGTTGTGGCTTAATACTGTGTTATTATTATATTATTAGTTTTATTTCACATGATATTTGCAGTTGAATTATTCTAAATTGTAACATTAATAAAATAAAAAACATTACTTCTTCACTTGTTTCAACATTTATAAAATTTCATTCACTGAACATACATTGGTTTAATTATCATTAAAGCATTTTTTAAAATTGGCAATAATAAATGGAAAATCGAAAAAACCGGAAAATGCACCAACTTTCTACAAGTTTAATTATTAAATTATTAAATTTTTTTGCTTTTTAATGATTTTTTCTAATTTGCTAAGGACGTGTATTATACTGGTGAAGTATTCAGTACCAGGGAAATATTTATTTGTTTGTAATTTACTATATTTTATTTATTAATACATTTCGAGCGTAAAAAGAATTTGGAAATGAATCTTTCAATATTCATTAAATCCATCTTCATTAAGGACAATTAAGGTCGAAAAACGTAAAATTTCAGGCCTATGGCAATTAATTATGCTGGCGTGTTTCGTGAGGATCAGATGCTTAAAGCGACTAAAGTCCCTCTACCAGTCGCGACAACAACCACGCTGCGCTCACCTTTCGGTTTTAATAGTGAACGATTGCAAGACTATTGGATAATGATTTTTTTAGTTTCCACTTTTATGATAGTTGCTCTATCTGCTCTTTATTATCGAAGCTATAGAATGAAAGCGATAAGGAATCGAGCGTTTGGGTTAAGGAAAACTGATATTGCCGAAGAAGATGAAGATGATTTACTTATAAGCTCATTGTATTCACAATAACTTGTGTGCCTTCAAACAACTATTTAAAGGTTAAATCATCGACATAAATTACTGAATTAATTTTCCCTCTCTTATTTTCATTTTTCTTGCATATCGTCCAGTGTCCTTGTTTTTCCAGGATTTGAAAAACGAGAAATGCACTAACTCTCTACAAAATTAGTTGTTTTGATTAATTAACTTAATTATTGACTTTATTTTTAAATTTCGGCTATATTGTTTTATTTTCAAGATTATTATTTTTATCACTTCTTTTTTATTCTTAAATTTCAAGGAAACATTGAAAGACGTTTGCTTTATCGTATATTGGTTTTTTGGTTATGTTGGTTTTTACTAAAAAGGTTTTATTATATTTTTCATTTCCCAGAATAATTTCAGGAAATAATTTTATATTGAACAATCGATAAAACTTTTTAAAATATTTTTTTGGTAAATAAAATAAAGTAACCAACATTCACTTTTTTTCATATTTTAAGAAATTTCACGTCAAAGAAATTCAAATGGAGTGATATTTGATGAGCAAACCAGAACTTAATTTCCAAGAATAATTTCTTTATGGTGCGTAAAAGCTTTTAACAATTATCCGTAACATATCGAGACAATTTTTCAAATTTTATCAAGGAGCCTTTCATAAGCTTCTACACTCTATTATTGTAGAATTTGCTGAAGAGAATTGTCACCGAACTCTCCTTAGCTAACTATCGAAAAACTTTTCGATCATTCAGTTCGACCACCTTACTATACTGCAATATTACAGTAATTGCATGCCATCGTACATTGCTAGAAAACTATAAACTTCATAAAGAATGTTGGAACAATAATTTAGTTATGGATATTAGCCATATCCTGCACTCCCTAATGCACTTTGCTAATCTAACAGCGCTTCCACATATACCCTTTTGTAATATGCAAAACAGTGCAATGTTCATTTCTTTTTTGGCACAAACCCCTGATTTTTTAGCGTCATGCGTTTTTATATTTGATAAGAGCTATTATAAAAGAACCATTTTTTTATATTCCTATAACCTTTTAGAGACCATCAAATATAAAGGTAATTTCAAACTCTCTTTTCCTTTTACTTATTGCCGTCGCACTTATAATTTCTCACTTTCACAGTTATTCAGTTCTTCGATTATTAGCACCTTTCAGCTAAATCGTTCTAGCGTTGTCGACGCTAAAATTTCAAAAAAAAAGTTAGGGTCAAGCAATTCGTCATTCGTTTTCTTCTTCTTCTAACAGCTCTCAACATTACCGGTTAGGCTGGCTTCGCTCGCTACAAGAATAAGACGTCTCCAAGCTGCTCGGTCCGATGCCATCGCTAGTAGCAGTAGAAGCCATTCCTTTTTCCATCGTCTAAGTCATATCGCTGGTCCCCGTTCAAAATCTTTCCTGACTGTATCAATCCAGGTCGTGATTGCCCCAGCTCGCTTTTAACAAGGTTTAGCAAGTAATGAAATATGAACTCCTGTGGTGGACGATAGAGAACGTGCCCTAACCAGCGAAGGCGACGCTCTGTGATAACATTATTAATACAGATATTTGAGTGAAGATGGATATAAGCAATTCGTCATTAAATTATTATTTTACTTTATGCATTTAATGATGAACTTTGAATATTAGACTAATTTCGATGCTTCAAAAACACATCCATTTTCATTTAATAGCATAAACCAGTTTCACCACACCAAATAGATATGAGACTGAAAATTTGAAAGACAGATAATGATAACAGTTATTATTACCAATTTTGCGACACTTCACAAAATAATAATAAAAATATAGAATAAATAAAAGAATTAAATAAATGCTCCATTAGATTTTTGAACTTTTCCTCCCACTACTTCACTTACTATCCTACAACTACTTTATTTTACTTTTTGATAGAAATATTTAGAGAATATCATTAGATAGAAATTTTTACAACAGATTTTTTCGATGAAATCGATTCGATTCAATAAATAAAAATGGACCGTATAAGTTATTTTTCCCATTCAAAAGCAAATTTTTGAAAAATAAAAAATTACAAGGATTATAAATAGTTATACCATAATAATGGTGAAAAAATTCACCAAAGATATTTTTAGTTCAACGCATATCACCTAAGAAATTAAATAGCTCCTACAGCTTTAAGGCGTTTTTCGAGTTCGCCATTTCTTTTCGCATTTGCTGTATCATCACCACCACCAAAGAAAATTCCTCCAATAAAAACACGAGGTACAGTGCTTAAATAAATAAATAAATAAATCTTTTCAAAAAATATAAATAACTATAAATTAAAATTCCTATAATTCCTTAAAAATATATTTATTGATTATAATTTGCTTCAAAATGTCGTGAAATTAAAAGTTTGCCAGAGAACACCAATATTCATTGAAACATAGCAAATTTATTTTTTAAATGAGAAATAAATAAGATCTGAATAAAATAAATATAAAAAGATGAAGATAACAAAAAATAATGGTAAAAAACAAAGATAAAGCGACAGACCCAAAATTTTGTCAAAAAGTCTAAGATATCTCGTAAAAATCTCGCTAAAAATTTGAAAATTATTTTTAAAAAACTTATTCATTTAAAAAAGGAAAATTTTAAGAAAAAGGAAAGGAAAAAGGAAAAGGAAAAGGGAAAAGGAAAGGAAAAAAGGAAAATCAAGAAAATTTTTATCCACTAAAATTTTAATTTAAATTGTTCCAAAAAATATTTTGTTTATAATATTTACAAATTCGATTTTTTTATACTGACTAATATTTAAAATAAATGTTCACAAAATTAATACAGAATTAATAATTTGTAATCTATTATAAGCATATCCTAGTTAGTGCTATGCCAAAATTATTTTTATCTGCCTTTTATAAGCCAATGGCTATCAATTGTTTTTTCTTTTTCACACCTAAGCTTGATATTTAAAGTTCCAAGACAAAGAAGATGCGGATGGGAATGCTGACGAGAATAAAGATTTAAAGATATAAATGATGGCAAATAATCGAAATAAATGTGACAATATAACCCACTAAAGTGCAAATCGACAAGTAGCGCCTAATATGCATTTGGTATAAAAACAAAGACTTAATTATTCATTCCAAAGATTTGAGCAATATAGTGAATGGGAAAGTCGTGTTGTAAATTCCTGCCGCCTTCTCTATTACATTATATATTCTAATATAATTAATTATCGGTTATTGACTATATTAGCATTTTCTGGAAAGAATCCTCAGACTCCTCAAGTTCTATAGTGAGTTGATTCATATATATAACGCAGATTTAAAAAAATTTAAAAATAAAAGAATAAGAATAAAAAAATAAAAGAAACTTCATTTCTTAAAAAATTTTTGCAAAAAATTTTCTTCTTTCTTTTCATTTCTATTTTTTTTCCTATAAACTTTCTATCTTAATATCAGTAATAACAATAATTTCGTAATATCAGTTACGAAACCATCTTTTTGCCATTTGTGTAGGAGTATTGGCTATCTCAGATTAAAAGATCCAGCCATAGATCTGGCTAGAAGAAGAAAGATATTTCAAGTACCGAAATACCGAAACATCTAGAAGATTTCAACAACTCTGGAATCACCGAGAAATCCCATTCGAAATGCTATCTCGAAGAGTATTTCTCGAAGAGTAAGAGAAGAGTAAGAGTAAGAGTATCCTAAGATAAACGACTTGGAAGAGAGCAAAATCAGACGAAATGAACAAGCTGTTTGAGCCGTGCGAATTTCAGGCGATATTAACTATCACCAGATCCGTCGCGCCGAGATGAAAATGAATCTGGGATGCTTTGAATCTGGAGATAGCAGCCTGAAAGGATGATCGTAGAAAATTATTCCGCTTACTCGCAACCAAGCAAATGGTCCGAGATAAGGATGGAAATGAAATTTAGACTATTATAGATCGTCTCACCAGTTGGAGAGAATTCTTTCAATCTAAATTTAAGTATGACTAGCATTCAGCGCCTCGAACATAACGTACATTTACAGCCGTGGGATTGCTACTGCGAACAACAAACGAAGCACGAGATAATATCTATAATTCATAAGTTTAAGTCCAATAAAACCCTTGGAGATGGTATAGAAACTGAAAATCTTCAAATGATGCCCACCCCTTCAAAACACACCGAGATTATATTCATTTGTGTGAAAAAAGGAGTACATATCACATGGATGGAGTAAAACAATTGTGCTCCTAGTTCCCGAGATAGAATGAATTGCGCCAACTATCGAGGAATCAATCAGATGTTTCTGAGGTTTTTGCCTGTTTTCTACTGAATAGACAGGCAAATGTAACAAGGATATCAGGCAGAATACAGGTCAGAACGTGGCTATACTGATCAAATTTTCATTCTGAGAAGAGTACGCCATTTCAACTATCGACAACCTTCCACTGTATGCCTCGTTTTCTCATTTGATACGATCGACAGGGTGCTCTGGCGGGTTATGCAAAACAAAGCTGTTCCAGAGAGCCTCAAAACAAAAGTTCATTTCACATTGATTGTTATAATAATCCTGCCACATTATGCTTGGGTAAAGTAGACGATGTCAGGAAACTAAATGTCTTTGATCACTTTTGCGTAAGATACATAATGAATACATGCCAAACTCTAATTACTGCATGATCCTTCATTCAAGCAACATCGGCATTAAAAACATCGCCATAAAACGTGGTTCGTGTGCCTGCCACAGAAATTTATACACATCATATCTCGTTATTTCCGATACTTATTAATGCAGGGGAATTTATTAAGAAATCTTTTAGAAAAAAAGGATTACCGAGCGCCAGTAATTTCAACCAAATAATCCTGTATAGCATCACCATCACTTCGTTTGTTAATTTCAATCCATTCTAAAGAATTTTCTTTAAGTTGAAACGAATTTATCGCTTTTTGGGTTTTCTTACAATGTGGACAATAATCCTTCGAGAAGACAACAATCTGTAAATATAATCTCATTTTTTTTTTTTTTTTTACTTAATGAAAATCGTTTAATTTTAGATTTATGCGGTTCTGCGATATTTGCATTTTTTGAACTTTTTGACAAGTTTTTCATTATTAATATTAATATAATTACCTTAAGTTCTTATCGGAGACATGGATTTCACCGATTTCATTATGATCTCATTTATAATCATTAACTCCAGTATGTGACTTTATGCCTAAATAAATGCGTTCCCGTTTTTTTCTTTCTTTCCCGTCCCCCTCCACCTCTTTTTTTTTCTTATTTAGTATTCACTGCCTCCCAGCTTGCTGACCTAACGGACTCAGACAATGGTCTTAAGAGGAAAGGGTTTGCCTTCGAAATCTATGTGCGAAAAATATATTAAAGATGATCGTGGTTTTAAAATTGGGAAGGCAGTAAGCTGCATAGATAAAATAAAATTACTCTGACATCTGAGAATACAAAAGATCTCCAAGCTTTCTCCAAGTCAAAATGTTCTCTGCACAACGAAAAAAAGGGAGAAAATCTGAATATAAAGAAGACTAAATGAAAAGATAATACAACCAGCTTTAGAATTGATAATCATTACATAGAAACGGTAGATATCTTTTGCTCTTGCTTTTTAAGATCAACATCAACCACGAACAATAAAATTACGAGCAATCAAGAAATGGCAAATTAACTCTGAAAAGAGCAAAACTTTGGAAAAAATATTCAAATGCCGTGATGTAACTATGCTAATAAAGATTTATGCGAACTATGGAATTCTTGTCGACTTTACACGTATACTTGGACCTTAAACTTGGACCTTAAGGAAAGAAGAAGAGCACCGATTCTTTTTCATTTCACTGGAGAAGCCTCCTGAGAATTTCTTTAACAGACCATCAGATCACATAATAAATTGAGCTGGAGAATTATGCTAGGATCAACTTATTTAGGACGTATTGTGCGAAGATCCTCTGGAAGAAGATCTGTAGCTCGGAACGAGACAAGGAAATGAAAAAAGAACCGCAAAAGATAGATTCAATTATAGTGGCCTTGAAAGATCAAGTTAAGGGCTGACTGTCTTGGAGATCGTTCATCTATATGGTCATTAAAAGTCTCGGAAACGACTTGATCGTATATAATTAATAATCAATATCAGATAACTGATTTTCAATGAATTTTAGATAAAATCGAAATTTCTTGCTTGCGAGCATTTCACCAAAATATTCTTGACTTATTTCTGAATTATCCTCTTAGTTTCTGAACTACTATGCCTTCTTTATTTATTTTTTCTTTTCATTAATTTTTACTTTTCTTTTCCTTTCATTAATAATATCTCATTACTCTTCTGTTCGCAATCTCCGATTTTGGATGATTAAGGATTTTGCTTGTCGACTTTACACGTATTTATCTCTTCTTTTGAGGTAAACCTTTGAAAAAGTAAAATCAGAGTGGCTGCTGAGGACGCAATTAACTATATTTATATCCTCTGCCCACAATTTGCTGTGGTAAAACAACCTAGCACCCACTCTTCCGACTCGCAAGATATCCCTAGCTCGGTGGTAAGTATACATATCTGGTAAAATGACTGTTAGGTTTCGGAATAGAATGAGTTTTCGAAAAAACAACTGTTCGTCGGCTCAATGCACAGGCAGTGAGGGCTATAGCAAGGAACGTCAGAATACTTATGGACATCAGAAGATAATTTTTGTATAAATATCGTATGGACATTGTCTGCTTGTGGAAATTCCTTTTTTTCACTCCGTGCAATTATTATACCTGGCTTGGAGCGGAAGTGCTGGCTGTATAATGCTTACGATAATTCGGGATGATTTGGATGATTTGCGATTATTGTATTTGAAAGAGCTTGATCCGCTCTGGTTGCAGTTAACGACCTTATGGCTTAAGCCTGTTTAAAAGGGAAATTCTGGCATCGGTCGAGTGGCGTGAAATCCCCTTCTAGCCAACAAAGCCAATAATGCTATAGTAAAAGCTGTTAAAAGAAATGAAGAAGATGGAAACAAACTTGTTTCGAAGCGATTAATGAATCGACGAACTCTTTTACATTGGACATAATCTGAAAAAATGGTAAAATTATCAGAATTATCAAAATTATCAAAAAATATGGAATGAAAATTATAAAAACTGCTGTAAGCAAATAATTAAAAAACTGCTATTCACTGATGGTTTCTGACAAAGTTCCTTGCTTTCCGATTTAACAAACGAGCAGCTTATCAAATTTTGTGATAAGAAATTGAGATGTGTGATAATGAGTCACAGCTTTTTGGCTGGTTACGCTGGCTACCTATTAAGGTGAGCTATTAAGGTGACAAAAAGATGGAAGCTAAATAATCCTTCAAAAATAAATAAAATTTGTGGCTTTCTTTTTGATAATTACGAAATAATGATTAAATTCAATTAAATATTATTAATTTCTATTTGTTTAAAAATCAGAAAATTATTAGTTTTGGAAAGAATATAAATATAAATTTTAAAGAAAAAACTAAAATTTGTGCGACTTAGAAAATAAAAACAGCATTAATCAATGTTAAAAGAAAGAAGTACCACGCTAGATCTTGAAATCCTTCCTCCCAGAATTCGACGAGCTAAAGGGCCGGGCTGTAAATAATCGATTATGGCCGCGAGTTTGAACGCATATTTTTTCGAGCGATTATTTTTGAGGTTATAGTGGATACGTGGTGGAGGGAGGAGGGGTGGGGAGGTGGTTGTCAAATCCAATAATTTCTAAATGTCTTTTTCTGAAGAACTGTAGGTCATCCTAGTGATGGTTCTCCATTCACTTTGCTTCTCGGTCTACAAAATTTAATGGGTTGAAAATGAAAAAAAGTCGTATCGAGATTTTGGGGAAGTTTTTCGAATTATTCTGAAAGATTCCGTTAATTCTGCTATATGACAGAGCGGTGGTGCGTTGACACCTTTCTCTCATCTTTCCTTTTCCTCTTTTCCTTTCTTTTCTGCTCTTCCATTTTCGTCCCCATAGTCTTCTTCTTCTAATGGCTTTCACCATTATCGGTTAGGCTGAATCCACTGACTACGAGGGTAAGGTGTTTCCGAGCTGTTCGATCCGATGCTGTCATCGACAGTAATGGAAGCCATTCTTTTTCCATCGTCTAAGTCCATATATCGCTGGTCCACCTATACGTTCGAAGCCATTCTTTTCTAAATGCATCAGTCCAGATCTTGATTGGTTCATCTCGCTTTTGACATCACCTATCACAGGCTTTAACAAGTCACGTGTCAGCTTTATGGAAAGCGACGAAGAACGTGCTCTAACTAGCGAAGACGACACGCAATGATGGTACTATTAATATAAATGTTTGAGAGAAAATGGATGTGATCATGTAAGATTTTATCCACTTGTAAAATGTATTTTAGATGTGAGTGATCTGATAACTTCTTGAAATCCTCCATTCTTATCGGCCATGTCTCGCAGCCATATAGTGGATCGCAGTTATATAGACGCGATAATTTCGCAACGGATCCATAAAGGTTTCGTCAACCTGAAGAACGCGTTTTTAGATGCCGTTATCCTGGTTGCAATTTCGTCTTTTGCTTGGTTATTCGGTGTTGGAGTAGATCCAAAATATTAAAAACCGGATCCTCAACTGGCAATAAATTTATAAAAATAGGTATTTTATCAGCTTCTTTTTTTTTAAAAAAAAGACCTCACCGATACTGGTTAAACTCACTCTGTTTGTCGCACTGGATGTCACACAAAAATATGCCAGGGAGGACCTTGCCGATAGAAGTACAGGTGAGTCACCATCATCATCCGGATCAGCTTCTTGTATACGACGAAAACTTTCATTTTATTTACATTGACTCTGAGTTTGATTCTCGCTGAAGTTGTTGACGCATTATTTAGCACTATTTGTATTTCATAACTGTCAAAAGGACTACATCATATTCAAGATCTATAAAACAATACCCTGTATTGATTTATACACTTCTTGAGTGTCGACAAAGCGATGTCCATTGTCCATTGTAGCTTATTTATAAGTGAAAGTTGAATTATATAAGTGAAAGGACGCAGCCTACTTGATATTAGTTCTCACTTTGAGTAGAGTGAATTTAACCAGTAACGGTGAGTAACGGTGAGGTTCGAAAGAGTCTGTCAGTTCCCCATATACCCAGACGACGTATGCTGATAAAATACCTTTATGAGACGAATGATCTTCTGTGGAACACCTTCGCATTCCTTCACCATGCAAAGCGTCGTTCTATCAATCGAAATCAGCTGGCAGATGAAACTCGTAATGGACGGTTGAAACGATATTCCAGCACCTTTCTTAACATAAATATTTGGTCAGCACCGACCCAGTCTAAATCCAGTTTGTTAGGGTTCATCCTGCTGTTTCATATTGGCATAAGTATGTTGAATAGAAGGGAACCAAAAACTTTCGCTGATAGGCTGATTCCTCGAAAATTGTTGCAATATGTCCTGTCACCTTTCTTGGGAATTGGGAAAACTCGGGAATTGGGAAAACTCGGGAATTTGGGAAAAAAAGTAGAATTGCTTTGCTGCAATCATATGGTAGTATTTCTTTTTTTCACACCAGAGAGTACATTTATTGAAGATGTGATATGAAGGATAGAGGACAGCATTTGAAGAGTTCAGACTGATGAGCATCTTCTCCCGGAGTTTTATTGGCCTTAAGCTTATGGTTAATGGGAATTTTCCCTCTTATTCCCTCTTTTGTTGGCGATTCGCAATTGCAAACATATGAAGCGAATCATCTATGTCCGAGGCAACAGATGGCGCATCGTGGTTAAGTGTAATCTCAAACAATTTCTTCCATCTTACAAGGCACATTGTTGCTATTCCGTACCATTTCATTGATCATTCTCCGAATTCTGGTTGCTTTATGAAGAAAGCAGAATAATTTCTATTATCCCCTAATCGAGCCGTCGTCTCCATTTTCAGGGTCATCTCGTTCCAGTAATGATTTTAGCAACTGAAGTTCCGCATAGAAATCTTATCTTATCTTTATCACGTTATCTCAGACAAAATTGGATATTTACACTGATCACCGATATTTACTTTGCAGAACTTACTTTTAAAGCGAGTAATAAGCCCTGTTCTGTTCAATTACCGAGCATTACACTGTGCTTGTGACGACAACCAACTTTACGCGGTTTGCGGTTCAAACTAGCTATATCTTGACCTTCACCGCTGTTTTCTGCCGGCTCCACCTACTACTGGCGACAACCCTTTCGGCTTTTCGTCCAGGGACTTTACCTCACAGTATCTTTCAGTCACCTTTAGGGTCGTTTACCGGTTTCCACTCAGTCAAAAGTAGAATGGGCCTTTTCAGACATGACGGTCTCTGCGCATTTTGCTCCGAGTTATTCGAAACACCAGAATGATATAACCAGTACTTCTGCTTGGACCCAGGCACGAGACTGAACGAAAACATCCAGGCGACATCTGCGTGATATTTAAAGACCGTGGACAATCGCTTGGCTTGCAATGTCCATAACCTTTCTGATGTTTCACTCTACTATGGCTAACATCTCGCCGCGCATGTAGAGAGCCGTTCACCATGACAGGTTTCGAGCAATTGCACTGTTTTGGGACCACATTTTATTTATAGGCTTTGAGATCGTTTTACGTTCGGATTATTACATAGTATGTTATACTTATCGCATATACCACAAGTTGGGTGTATCATCCATGTCGGAGACCGTGTTAAGAATATCAGATCCTTTCATCGTAGAGTCACTTTAGGATAGAGTTACAGGTGGGTCTTCAGTAGCTGCTTGGATTTTTGGTATTAGAGGTTTATTCCTGTCGAAGACAAGGATAAACTGGAAAAATTGAAAAAAAACTTATCGTTTAAGTTGTCCAAACGAAATGTTGTGATAATCAATAATAAGAATAATAAATAATAGTAATAAGAATAATAATAATATAATAATTAATAATAATAATAGCAATTAATAATAATAATAAATTTTCTTATAGATTGACAAAGCAATTAGAAAAGCCGAACGATTATAAAACGATAGGTTAATTATTCCCTGTGGTTATATTCAATGATTATATTATTATTATTATTATATTTTAGTACGGATAAGATAATAAAATTTAGCATTAATTTCCAGTTCACGTCGATCTATTGCATTGAAGATAAAAGAATAGATGGTTTTCTAGCACTATAAAATTTTTTTAATGGGTAATTAATGAGCAATAACATAGGTTGAATGATAATCCAGATACATCTATTCGGCCATACAGATAGAACATAAACTGTTATCGCACAATAACTTTTGGAGTTTTTTTGTAAGAATGCCACCAAGAATACCGAAACGGTCGATATATGCAGATATTTATGTGAAGGGCTCGCATCGAGCGAGATTTACACCACGTGTAGCTCGGCCTTGGAGGCCACGTGTGATTGCTTGGGCTGGGCCTACTGCTTTTTATCCGAATAGGTAAATCTTCCAAATTAAATCTTTCTTCTTTTTTGATAATTGTCGTTGGAATGATTTTTCGATTTCTATTGTAGTATGATTTCTATTGTAGATGTTCTGGTAGCCCCAACTGGAATTCTAAAATCTCTATTTTTTCCATGCATGATATTGATACATAGGCACTGCATGTTCAAAATATCCAAAAAATTTTTTGGCAAATTTCAAAGCCTTTCTCGTGTAGAATCAATTTTCTGGTGTTCTGGACTTGAACTTTAAAATGATTTTTGTTCAGAAATTTCTTAATATACATGTGTCAAGGAGATTGCATGCCATTACATATACCTAGGTTACAAGTATACATGCTATCTAGTAAATATGCTGGCAGGGTAATTGTATCCTATAGTAGTACCAGATTTCTTTCGCAACAAATATTTTCTTAGATATTTATGCTATATTGAGAATAATTTAAAGATCTTTTTTACTGAAATAGTTGAATATCTAGTCTTAAAGATTTTGAAAAGCATCACTCTCTTTCAAATGATTCTGTATTGGATACAACAGCAGAAAATGATCAGCGAAATAGTTATGCAAGGATAATCCCCTCGCTCTATATCAAAACTCGACCTTCAAGAAAGTCATGTTTCACTTTTAAAGAATTGATCTACTATAGTTTCTTAAAGCTTAATTAGTGATTGCGGCAGATATTGGGAATAGTCCACCAGGAATAACAAATACGACAAACAGCACTATGCAGTAAAAAATCCCATCATTCTGCATACATTTGCTAGATCGCACATCACTAGTATTATTTTCAGAAAATTTGTCGAGTTCAATATCGAAATCCTTTTCTCCTCATCCACCATATCCATTTCTTTCGTCAGTAGGCTTCCACTTCTTTCGCCTTCTCGACATCTTTCTCAGGGAAAAATGTTATTGAGAGCAGCAACTCCTTGAAAACATTTTCTAGCAGATCAAAAGCTTGTTTTAAAGGCTCGGAATAGATTGAATAAAGGTACTATATCATGTTGGTAGAAATGTTTGCCAACGAACACGCTTTATAATGCTCTTTTTGAACAAAAATACTCATCCACAATAAAATTATTGTGGTCTCGCAATGAATCCAGAACAGTAAGAATTTTTAGGATGGTTAAACTACATAAGAAAAAGAAAATTCACTTATCCTGGCATAAGATACTGTGATTAAATATTGAATTATCAATTTGCAATTAATTTTATCGATTCAAGATTCTATGAAATGGATAAATGGTACAAAGCAAGAATCACAAAACCTGAAATAATTCCGCAATTGCACGTTATTGATCCAGACAAATACACGGCTACGATCGAAGAACGTTTGCAGGGTATCATAGCTCCCATATAATTGGCTTTATATTGCCACGGCTTTTTTTTCTGAAGATCTTTATTTTTCCTTTTTTTCTTGCATTTTTTAGTCAATTTAAATGTTTAGTTTCGTTTGTGTCTTTCGAATTCAAAACATTTTTTATAGACATTATTATTTTATTATTATTATTTTATAATTTATTACTATTATTACATTATTTATACATTATTTATTACAGAACCGGAAGTTAAAGAAGCTGCAATTAATATTGGATATAAAGAAAAAATTTTGCCTGTTCAAAAACCGAGTATTTCAAAGGAGGAAATTGAAAGATTGTCGTGGAAAAGGCAATGTTGGTTATTATTTTGCATTTACTTTTATGATCTTCGTGATAAATTGGTCATAAGGCTTATAAATCTACTAATAAATCATTTTAGGAAAATTATTGGGTTTTGCCATATTCATTTAATTCATTTATTTGAAGTGTATTTTAATATAACTCAAAATTATTTTATCAAAATTATTATGAATGATTTTTTAAATTTTCCTGTAGAGATTCTTAAGAGATCTTCGACAAATATTTCTTGACGTTATTCGGTGTTTTACTATTCAAATGTATATATGAAATTTCCATTAATTTTTCCAGTAATCTTGGACATTAATTTAGTCGATAATGGTCAAGCTGCAAATTTCTTTAGAATTTTTTTTTCACTTTCGAATCTTTCACTAATGCTTTATTGTGTTCTGTGCACTTCAATCATTAATTTTTAATCATTAAAAAGTATTCAGGTTTAATAAAAATAAATGATAAAATTAAATTTTAATATCTTTTGTAGTGAAAATAGATCTCAATCTGTTAAATCATTATCAGAGAAATATTGTCAAGCATTATCGGATTTTTGATGATTTATTTGGTGAAGGAGTATATTTCAATATAACCCAAATTATGCGAACGAAATTTGGCAAGAACATTGCTTATTATGGAAATATTTTAGAAGCTAGCCATGCCAGTAAGATTTTTTTTCACAGTATTTTCGTCAATAGCATAATATTCAATATTTTTTGTTTAAATATCAGTGTTTTATTATTCAATTATTTTTTGTTTTGGCACCTAATAACTGCATTTCTTTAAGTTTAAAAAGAAATTTGAAGAAAAAAATATTTTATTACAGAAGAGAAACCTTCTATAACAATTGAATCTGTCGGACATGGTTATAACACTTTAATGATTATAAATCTTGATGGAAATCCCTATTTATCCAATACTGAACTTCTTCACTGGTTCGTTTCAAATATCGAAGATGGCAAATCAGTCGCGGAAGGTACTGAGGAAGTTCCTTATTTACAACCTCTTCCTTTTAAAAACACTGGATACCACAGGCTTGCAATAATCCTCTTTCATCATGAAAAGCAAATTGATTTTACAGCATATAGGCCAAAAAGGTTCTTTTTCCATACTAATTAGCATATTATGGTTTGCTGCAAAAATTTTATCATTTCGTTTTTTTTTAAATTCAATTTAATTTCAATTTCACGGTATATCCACATCTATTTTTATGCATTTTAAAAGTTAGCGTCATAAGAGAATGAAAGTAGAAATAAGACGAGGTATTCTATATGAGAGAATTATTCCATTATTGGTTATTTGAAAGAATTTATATGTAAATAATCCATTTTTCAGCAACAGTTTATTTGATCGATCGTTCAAGATGCAAAAATTTTATAAATTAAATGAAGATGAAATTACGCCATCATCTATATCTTTCATACAAGTAATTTGGGATATGTCTGTCAATTATGCTTTACACACTTTAGGTATTTTTACACGTTCTATTCATTCTATTCCATTTTACATTTATCTTTCCTCCGAAGTTTGTTTTATATGCAGCGATCTATTGTTTTTTTTTTGGAATTATCTTAATAAGGTAGGATTGACACTTATAGAAAAAAAGACGGAATAAAGACGGATATTTCCGCGAAAAAATCGCGAAATATCATCCATTGATTCGATTCATATTCGAAGATATTGCAGAATACTAACGATTCAGAAGAAATAATCTTCTGATTTGACTGATGAGCGTAATAAAAAAAAAAAATGATTAGATAGTATCATTTATGATATTATTTAAAATATTTATCACACAAGAAGTTTGAAATCTTGATTTTTCACCATTCGATTATGTATGTGTAATATATTCATTTCGAATTGTGCAATTTTAACTCCTCTTCGTTTCCTCTTTACTTCATTAACTTTTGTCATATTTCCTTTTTTTTATCATTCTTCTTCTAATAACTGTCGCCATTATTGGTTAGTTTTGGCTCCATTGGCTACAAAGGGTATGATATGACGTTTCCAAGCTGCTCAATCCGACGCCATTCCTTTTTACCTCGTATAAGTCCATATATCGCTTGTATCTTCATACTTTCTTGATTGCATTAGTCCAGGTCGTGGTTGGTCCTCTTCGCTTTTGACACCAACCGTCACAAAAGGATTCGGTAAGTAGCAAAATCCTGCATCAACTCCTGTGGTGGACGACGGAGAACGAGCCAGCAAAGGCGACGCTTTGTTAATAGGTGGTATTAGAGCGAAGATGGGTACAATTATGTGCGATTTTATCCACTCGAGGGATCCGTAAAATGTATTTTAGACATGAGCGGTCTAATATCCTCTATTATCAGTGGTCATGTCTTATAGCCATATAGCAAGATCGAGAGAAGTGAGAGAAGAGACAACTATATGGACACAGGCTTTAGTCTTTACGGTGATTTCGAGATGGTTCCATGAAGATTTCTGAAAAAATATTTCTAGTTGTCGTTATCCGGATTATAATTTCATCTTTTGTCTGTTCATTTGGGACTAGAGTGGAACCAAGGTATTCAAAGTCGAATAGGTATTCTATTAAATTCTTGTATGTAAGGCGAAAATACTTGCGCTTTATTTATATTGACTTTGATTCGGATTCACGCTGCAGTTGTTGACGCATTGTTTAGCATTATTAGCATTTTATTATAAATATAAGCAAAAAGAACTAGATCATCAGCGTATTCAAGGTCTGTAATACTATGCTCTGGACTGATTTGCACACCTCTTGACCGCTGACAAGCAATGCCCATTGTTCAATCTATCGCATAGTTGAATACTGTAGAAGAAAGAAAATTGCCCTGATGGAGATCATTTCTTATTTCGAAGGAATTTCCCATATATACAAACCTCTGTCAAGGTTTGCTGATAAAATGCATTCATGAGCCGAATGATCTTCTCTGAGATGCTGTCACATTTTTTACAGAGCTATTCTATCAACCAAATCGAAGACAACTGCAAAATCGATAAAGCAAATAACGGTGGGTTGCTGGCATTTGAAACGACGTTCCAGCATCCTTTTTAGTGTAAATATCCAGTCAACCGCGTCTAGGTCCAGTTTGATTAGGACGCATTCTGTTATCTCGTGTTTCTATCTATTTAGCGGAAGAAAAGCGAAAATTTTTCCGGAAATGTCTAGTAGATTGATTCCTCAATAATTTTCGCAGCATATCCTATTACCTTTTTTAGGAATTTGAAGAAGAATTGCTTTGCTATAGTCTTCTAGTAATATTTGCTTTTGTCATACCAGAAAGTACATTTGTTGAAGGTGAATTATGAATGATGGTGGGCAACATTTGAAGAGTTCAGTCTAAAGACCATTTTCTCCAAGAGTTTTATTGGCCATAAGCTTATGGATTACAGAGATCGCCTCTTCTGTCGCCTCCGCGCTTCGCAGTAGTAAATGTATGGTTCGACGGGCGAATAACAGATTAACAATAACAGTTATAACAAATTGCGCATCGTAGTTACCTTTGGCCTCAAAAAATTCTTTCCATCTTCTAAAACGATCCTTAACAGATCCTTAACTGCTTTAATGGGCATCCTATTAATTTCACGAATTTCACGAATCATTTCATTGACCTTTTCTCGAGTTATAGTTGCTTTATGAAGGCGAAAAAGTTCCCTATTATTATCTATCCGAGCCGTCGTCTCCATTCTTAAGGTCATATCGATCCAATAGCGATTTCTATTCCGCCGTGCTGCTGTCGTTTAATTCTTCCAAGCACCCGATAATCAGGATCTTCTGACATTCGGACTTTTTCAGACAGTTGGACAGTTGCTTCCGACACCCAACTAGCATATTTTCTACTATTATGCACTAATGTGGAAGTGGCTGACTTTTTTAGGCATATCTTTAATTGTAACTAATATTCATTCGTCATTATTGATGTCATTTCACTGAGGTGTTTCAATAATGCGGTTTGAAATGCACTTATCGTTCCCGGATTTTTTAATTTGAGATAGTTGAAAGATCTTGGGATACGTTGTTTTTTACGACTTGTCAGTTTTATAAAAATCTTGGCTTGAACCACAACATCGTATGATCCATGGCGGTTACTAGTTACAGAAGACCGACCATCAGGCACATAAGAACTCTTCCAGCGGTGACGGTGATTTAATATAGTCAATCTGATCAGAATATTAGTTGTCTGGAGAATTCCACGTGATTAGATGTTTCCTCCGATACCGAAAATATGTACTAGTAATAAAGATTTCATGCCCTTCAAAAGGCGTTCTCCATTGGCGCACTGGACCCCGATGCCATATTTGCCAATCACCGAGTTCATTGAAACGGTATCATGATCTACGCGCGCATTCCAGTCTCCCCAGAGTATGAACATATCACCTCTCGGTAGGGATGTTGTTAACAATTGAAATTCCGCATTGAACTTATCGCGGTCATCTGCGCATAAAGTTGGAGCATATACATGATGACTGAAATATTGCAGAACTTTCCTTTGAAACGCTCATACGATAGGCCATACGATCATTACATTCAATTAGAGCGGACCGAGCCTTTTCAGACGTGACAGTCGCTAAACCATTTCCCGAATTATCCGAAACACCACAATGATATGGCTAATATCTTGGGAACCAGTTTTAATGATTATTCGCGAGCCGACATGAGGAATACGGATATCCGAGAAAAAAATCACATCCACGCGGTATTTAGAAAGAATGTGGATGCTAATCGCTTGGCTTTCAACATTCATAAGCGTTTTGACAGCAGCTTAGCCAAGTACCTCATCACGCTTACAAAGTAAGAGAGATTCTTATCTCCCTTGACGGGATTTGAATGTCTCTATTCGTGAGCAAATTCTACCTTGTGCCTTGGAATTTTATTATTATTATTATTATTATTATTATTATTATTATTTTAATATTAATTATTATTTTAATATTAATTATTATTTTAATATTAATTATTATTTTAATATTAATTATTATTTTAATATTAATTATTATTTTAATATTAATTATTATTTTAATATTAATTATTATTTTAATATTAATTATTATTTTAATATTAATTATTATTTTAATATTAATTATTATTTTAATATTAATTATTATTTTAATATTAATTATTATTTTAATATTAATTATTATTTTAATATTAATTATTATTTTAATATTAATTATTATTTTAATATTAATTATTATTTTAATATTAATTATTATTTTAATATTAATTATTATTTTAATATTAATTATTATTTTAATATTAATTATTATTTTAATATTAATTATTATTTTAATATTAATTATTATTTTAATATTAATTATTATTTTAATATTAATTATTATTTTAATATTAATTATTATTTTAATATTAATTATTATTTTAATATTAATTATTATTTTAATATTAATTATTATTTTAATATTAATTATTATTATTAATTATTATTATTATTATTTAAAAATAATTTAATTAATAATTAATAATAATTAATTTAATTAATAATTTAAAAATTATTAATTTAAAAATAATTTAAAAAACAAAAAAATTAAAAAATTTTAAGAAAAATTTTATACCTAATGCATTTAATGCTATGAATAGGTCTCAGCTGGTCAGGACATGAATTACAGTCAGAAAGATTTTGAACCTATAGGGAGACCAGCGATATATGGATTAGACGTTGGGAAAAGGAATGGCTTCTATTATCATCAGCGATGACATCAGATTAAAAAGTTTAAACGTCTTCGAAGCCAATCAAACCAGTAATGGCAAGAGCTGTTAGAAGAAGAAATAGAAGCTATAGAAGCCAAATTTCTATACTGATTCGGCCTATTTTTTAATTTCAGGAAAATAGACTTTAACTTAGGTTTTAGTCCAGAATTTGATATTTTAAGTGGCATTTGAATGATACTGGAGCTTTATATGGTAAATATTTATGCATATTAGTGCCTTTTTGAACTACTACAAATATTTACAGTCTAACAATATATTGCATATGCTGCAGAGTAATAGGGTAAAAAATTTCCACCAAAGAATTGTTTGGAAGTTGCAAGTTGGTCTCAGGCATTACCTGGATTTCATTTTAATGACTGATTTTTAATGACTTTTAATGGTCTATCGCTATCAACGAATAATATACCATTCACCATTCTGTCTCAATATACCTAGAATAGATTTTGCGCAGATTATCGTCTCAAGGGGTCAGTTGAAGTCAGGTGCTATCAGTTGTGCACCTAGATTTGGCTAAAGCTTTTGATACTGTTTCATAACAAATTACTGATTACTCTTAATAGTTATTGCATTACAGCGGTCCTTTATAACTAGGTGTTAGATTACACAAAAAACCGTCACCAAGCCGTACTCATCAATAACCGTACTCTTTCTGACATAAAAATTGCTAAATCTGGTGTTCCCCAAGGTAGTTGTGTTGTTTCATTGCTTTTTCTATTATATATAAATGATATAACCAATATGGTACTAAATTCTACTATTTATCTTTATGCTGATGATTGTAAAATTTATTATTTTCATGGTAGATCAGATAGCCTATCTGCACTGCAGGAGGACCTTAACAGAATAGCCAGCTGGCTATTCTGACAGACAAATTATCCTTTCCTTTCACAAATGTAGTGTTCTTCATATCAATTCTAAAGGTTTCGATTTTCCTAACCTTATTATTAAAGGCAATATAATCAGTAGAGTCTTATACATTTCCGATCTTGGTATAATCTTGGTATAATCGTAGATGAAAATCTCTATTTTGACCTTCACTGCAGAACCATAGTTATAAAGAAATCTTCAAAAATACTAAATTTTATTTTTCGTTCGTTTAAGAACAAACTGAAGACAAATGTACAAAGCGTTCGTTCGGCCACTTCTTGACTACAATGCGATACGTTACTCCCAGAGATATCGTAAATCAAGTAATGTAATTGAAGGACTCCAAAAATATTTTATACGGCGCCTCTCTTCTTGTTGAAATTTTAATTATAAAAGAAAACTTCTACAATATAACCTGTATTCTCTATCAGTTCGTCGTATTTAACAAGATTTAATTTATACTTATAAGATTCTGTATGTTTATGTTAAATTAGTATGCTAAAAATATAATTTTAGGCTAAATTTGAACCCAACAAGAACTAATGGGCTAAAATTGCTAAAACCTGTGTGTAAAACTAAAACTAAACTAAGGACTCATAATTTCTTTATTCGTAATATTAATTTCTGGAATAAATTACCGATATAATTTGTGCGCCATTCCTAACTATCTTTAAAAAAGGAATAGATAATATTATTTATGATATTATTTAAAAAATTCACATAATGCAGGAAGTGTGAAATCGCAATTTTTGCCATCCGATTATAGTTATTTTGAATTGTATTATATTTTATTATTTCGCAATATCCTCTTTATTTCTTGTTTATTTTATTTTAATATTATTATTTTTTTGTTATTTGTCATTAATTCTTATTATTTGTTATTTTAACTGATGTTATTAATACAAGCAGATAGCGTTTGCGTCCTGCTTGGCTGGTTTTCAATAAATAAGTAAATTTATTGATTTATTGATTAATAAGCAAAGAACCTTTTTTGCATAACTTCTCATGGAACAAAAATTTTATTTTTTTTATCATTAATTTTCATTGTTTGTTATTTTAAATATTGTTATTAATGCAAGCACATGGCGCTTGCAGCTTCGCTTGGCTGGTTTTCAATAAATTGAATATTTAATAATAATAATTTAATATTTATTAAAACTTTTCCAAATAAAATTTTTTCTTTTTTATGGTCTTTCTCATTCTTCCATTTTTTTTTCAGATCTCAAGTGCCCTTTGTACAAATACAGATATAATCTTCCTCTTAAAATTGAACAAAAAGAATTCTCCAATAAACCTCAACCTTTTGACCTGTAAACTATTTTTCGCATTTTCACAAATAAATAAGGCAGATTGTTTTAGGTTTTGACGTTCTTTTCTATTTTCTTAATGATTTCGTATTTTGTGAATGTGAAATATTATATTATACTGAAGTTTAGTTTCTTGTTTTATGCAATATCATATTTTCAGATATTTGGATCAGTTTAGAGATCCTCTGGAAATGGAAGGCGAAGTTCTTAAAAAACGTTTACGAATGAGTTCTGTCGAAAGTGAACCGAAACAACCAATATATCCCGATATTAACTATGTAGAAAATAAAAAAGTACTTCCAGCTTGGATCCATTCAAAACTTATAAAGGAAAATAGTGGCTCCGGTCGTTTTTTCGCTTTATGGAATAATCCCATTGATTGAAGCCTTCTGATTAAAAATTATAAATTAAAAATTATTGAAAATTACAGGTGAAAATATGATACACTAAAAAAAGTTGAAAAATTTTGGTGGCCATGAATTTGATAAACTGATAAACTCTGAGGTAGAAGATTATATATAGGTAAAGTTTTTTTTGAGAAAATTTCATTGTGTAACTTTTTTGTTTTTTCTCTGTATTTTTTGGAAAAATTCGATTTAATTTCTTCGCCTGTAACTTTTTTGTCATATTTGCCATATGGAGAGGTTTAATTGTTCGATATAAATTTCCGGAATTTTCAGATGATAAAATTCATCAGTATGTATTGTAATATGAAATACAAATGTTGGAAACCCATACATTAATTTATTGGTGTCATAAAATCAATAATTATTAGAATTATTCTTTTTATATTTCCCATTAAGTGGGAAAAAATACAAATGACAAAGTTTTATTCGTTATATTTTTTTCCATCATAAAGTTTGGTTTTTGGTTTTTTATCAGTCTTTTTCAATGTTTACGACGGTTAACATTCTGTTTAACACTGTTAACACTGTTTAATGATTCAGTTTCGTATTTGTTTTTTATAAATAGTTTATGGTCCAAGGGTGTGGAAATTATTTTCGTCATTACTGTTTTTTTTTTGTTCAGCAAATAAAAAATTGTTCTCAAATTTTGTACGGTCAAATGCAATTCAAACACTCGACAAATTAAGCGGCAAATCATTCGCACGAATTATTGCTCTAATAGTAATAAAGTAATAATAGAAGAGTTTTGAGAGTATCATAAAAAGTTTTTTTAGAGAGTCATCACCACTGTTAGACTCGCCGTGCTGGCTTGTCGCACCAGGCAAACGGAGCCAGGGAATTCCTTGGCGATAGAAGTACAGGTGAGTCGCCAGTACTAGCTGGATTTTTGGACAAGCTTGCTCGCAGGAGAGTTGGAACTCTAAATTGAGCAACAACCCACCGAGCCACACACACTCTCCATTTATTGAAATTTTTATTTGTAATATTACTTGGTTCTAATATTTTCCTTTGCTGTCGCTTATATTTTCTACCTTATTATGCCTTATGATTATGGCCTTAGGCAATTATTAGATCGCAATTGTATAAGGTAAATGCTAGACGATGAACTGCGCATATTATGCACTATTACATCGTTTCGCTAGCCACTGCACATTTGATGGTAACTCGATACATGTAATTTGTACGAAGGTTTAGTTAATAATATTTCTCTTCGTATTGTATCTCATTTTAGCCCGCTGCACCGAAAATATTTATGCCAAAAATTAATGCGACGCGCAAAAAAGCGTCTATGAAATAAAATCTCGTGTGGCAGTTAGCATTGGTCAAAAAGAGTTTGGGGTTCAGTTTGGTTGTTGAAGGGTAATTTAAATGAATAAGGAAAAGATGGCTAATTCGTAAGAGAAATTTCTAAAGGTTTTTCATGATTTTATACGACTTCGGTAGTCGCAAAATTTTCGATATCCATAGGACCGTTGTACTCAGCATATTTTCACCAAAACAAAAGTTGCATTAACTTCATTTGCGCAGAAATTCATATTTCTATTCTATTCTTTGGTAAATCATTTGAGAAATGTGTTGAATGATTTCGATGAGCTGGAAAAATTCATTCTTACGACACATAATTTGACACGAAATATGACGATTTTTACTGGCAGCAGCTATACTCATCGTCAACCACAGTAATCACATTCCACCAGCAGTAATGACTTAATAGATCACTAATCTTTCGATGATGGTGAAATTCCAGCATGATTCGAGGAGATTCCTTCTTTTCGAATTTCGAATGCACCTTTTTCTCATGCCATGCGAGAAGCATTTTTCGTTACAGATAAAAATTTGTTGCTCATTTGTGAAGCTTTTTTTTTCTTCCATCGTATTCATGCAGTTCCCCAAGAAATTTGTGAAAATTTATTCTTTGTTAAATTTACGCAGATCCTTCTGGTTGCTTTTGGGTAATTCTATTAGGATATCGTCCGTAAAATTCAAGAACCACTCGTTATATGATGCATTTTCGAGATTCGCATGTGCAGATCAAGCCACCCATTCTTGCCTTCTCATGCCAATTAGACTGATTTAAATCCTTTCAAGAAAGAGAAACATGAGTTCAAAGCGAGGATATGTATATATAATACATATATAATAATCCATATTATCCAATTCTTAATAACAGTACGTCTTAAGACAAAAATAAACGTGCCATTAAAAAAATCTGGAAGTTATTGAGCCCGCCCGTTTTTTCATCACCAAACGACTCTATTATCATTAGTTATAAGAGCTAAGCTGGGTTGCCATGGTAGAGTGAAAAAGGAATATTGCTAACAGCTCTTAGTTGGTGGGAATTGTTCGAGATCGGTTAGCAGCTTTTGTATTTTTCCTCTGAAATAAATTCATAAATAAATTATAAAATCAGAAAGTACCATTGTTGTGCGTTTTGAAAGCCCAGTTCTTGATTGATCTTGATCTAATTAGGATAAGATGGTCGGGTGATACATTGCTTCAATTTAAGGCTTTAATTTCGATTTATATTCTTTCCAAAGAGTACCAAAAGTGAGACCGGGATCCACCTTCATTTTATCCTTCTTTGTTTAAATGGTCTCATCCTAATAACAAGTGGCCCAAATTAGGAATAATTTAGAAAAATTTGATTGATTGATCACACCATATTTGAATTACGAAATGGAGGTGACTATAAAAATTTTACAGCTGTCAAAATACTGGATGTTGGTGCTACTGGATAAACTTCATGGATATTAATAACATATTTATTTTATCTTACATTATATTTATCAGCTTTTCAGTAAAAGTGTGCAAAACTATATGAATTTATTATCTACTAAATTTCTATCACTTTCTTTCATTTTATTCCTGCTGATCATCAGTGTTGTGGATGTCGTTATTTTCACTTCTATCCATATGTCACCGAATCCCCCTAGTCTTCAAATACAATACTGTTATAGGCCAATTCGTACTGCTGCCCGACCTGAACCACCTGTATCAGCTTGTAGAGATGTGGATCCTGACTGCAGTCGTATATTCTATCTTTCACCGCAAGACAGGAAGAACAATTTGAATGAGTAAATTTTTGGTTCAGCTAATGAAAAATAACAATCCGAGAAAAAAGCCTTATTTTCATAGGTTATTACGTTTTATTCCATTTGTTAAAAACCATGTTGTGGTTATAAAATTTTGGAAATTTTTTAAATATTATTAAATATTATATTATTAAATATTATTCACCATTTCTTTTTCATGACTCTATTAGCTGTAAAAACGTATGCTTCTTACTAGCATGGAATGAATGAGTTCCAGCATTACCCAAACTTATTTTTTTGATATTTCTTATCATTAGCTACTTTTACAGAAGTATGGATTATAGAATATCATCAAGATGCTACAAGAAAGATTTTCTGCACTTCGCAATTAAGCGATGTCCATCGACCTGCGCATTTTGTTGTAAATTGCCTCAATTTGACTGTTCCGATGGTTCATTTTTGCTTCTTCCTTTTTAACTTTGTTTTTTATTTATTTGTGATGTTAGTGAAGTTTTAAAAATTCCAACTTTTTTGATTGTACTTTAGTAAAATTATATATTTCTATACTTACTATACTTATACTTTTATATACATGTATGCTTTTTATATACTTAATTATATACTTTTTTTCTTGAAAAATACATGCTCAAAAAAAATTTTTATTCAAAATTTATTGAACTCAACATTTTTGTTACTTTTTTTAATTTCCTGCTTTTTTGTTATTTCTTCGCCTAATTCTCTGTTAAGAGGCACCGGGAAGCAGAGACAACAATTCAGCTTCTGCCAAATCTCTCATTAAATATTTCTTTGCTGACTCCATTAGCTATCATTAAAACAATCGGGCGACAGTCCATCTATCCCAAGTGGCCCTTTGGCATTTCTTATTGTACAGATGGAGTTAATATAACTGGCAATGGTGAGCACTGACTGCTTTCTTACTTATCAAATGCAAGTGCTGAATTGAAATCGTAGATAATTGTTGCTACTATCTAAATCCTCATCAGTAAAACTTAAATTATTATCTCCATATTTGACAAGTAAACAATCAAGTGTCAACGATAGGGTGATTTTTTAAATGAATACAAAATGAATATGAAAATATGATGATTCGACGAAAAAAGAAATAAAATTTAACTATTCGCTTTTTAAATGAAAATAATAAAATCGTAAATTTTTCGAATATTTTTATATTCATTCGATATAAAACTTTAAGCAAATATATCGCTTAATTTGCGATCGTTTTTTAAGACAAAAGTGAAGAGTTTTGTCGAAATCGTAAACGAATGGGTCGATGTACAGATTCGACAGCATTAATGCATTGTCCTTATACTTGCGGACTTTGTGGTTTACCAGGTGCGGGCGGCTTTATCTGTCCTGATGTAAGCGCTTTTTGTGCAATCGATTTCCAAATGATAGGCTGTAAAACGGAGAAAATGATTAAATATTGCAAACATTCATGCAGACTGAACGACTGCATTTCAAGTATTTCCATTATAATTGAAATTTCAATTATCTTTTTTCAAAATTTCATTTCTCTTTAAATTTAGCTTATTAAAAAATATATATCCAATTTCTTCCAACAATTTTTTTGTACTGAAAATTTTACTGAATATTTGAGGAAGCAATTTGATATTTGAAAAGGAGATGGCGAAGTTCAAACTTCAAGGGTTCTTCTGGGCCGATAAACTTTGCCATGAAATATGCGTGATGCCTTGTTTATTTATCTAAGTGGATTTTTGCAGAAATCCTTTTCCTCGCAATTGCTCTTTAATGTCTCGTTTATTCATATACTATAGTACAAAATTCTTCAAGCCTCGCCACATCCAACCAAATCAGAAATGTTGAGTATAAAGGGAGGAACATGATACGATATTTATGAAAGAATAAAAATTCTAATAATTTTTTCCTTTTCGTATTCCCAATTTATTTATTAACTTCTATTTGTAAGCTTTTGTAAGCTTTCTTTAAAGGTAAATATCTTTTAATTTTTCCATCACTGGTGAGCATATGTTTTTATTCACAGCCTTCAGTAATCATTACTGCAGTTAACTTTCTTTTAAGATCATTCACCATTTCTAGTTTGGCTGGCCCCAACTGCTACTAAAATGGGAATCATTTAATTATTTAATACGTGCAGATCTCCAGCATCAGATTTTTATTTTTAATGAGGTATTCAATCTTTGTTCTGCAGATGAATTGCCACCCGAATCTTTTAATGATAGATTTATTTCATATTGGGAAAATCCTCAAATATTTTAAATTTCTTGATATCAAATTTTTGTAATAAAATAATAAATAAATTAATAAAGAAGATGATGGACAATCTCGAATGAAACCAGTTTGTGAAGATCTGCGATCAAATTGCAGACAATTCTATGTATTTTGCAATTCAACATCTTTAGTAATGCAATTTCAATGCAGGAAAACGTGCGGATTTTGCTGAGGACAATTTGTAAGCTTTTTTTAAAGGTAAGTATCTTTTATTTTTCCGTCACTGGTGAGCATATGTTTTTATTCACAGCCTTCAGTAATTATTACTGCAGTTAACTTTCTTTTAAGATCATTCGCCATTTCTAGTTTGGCTGGCCCCAATTGCTACTAAAATGGGAATCATTTAATAGTAGAGAAATACATGCAGATCTCCAGCATCAGATTTCATTTTAAATGAGGTATTCATATCAAATTATGGGAATAAAAATTTACTTCTTTATTGTCTATGCAAAGATTTTCAGGGTAGTTTGGATTCAATGTAAGAATACACTTACCTGCGAATTTTCCTTATTGTTTTATGAATGAAAGATAAATGCATTTTTGCATTGCTTGCGGAATTCGAAGAAAGTTTATTTTTTCTGTATAAAAGATTTTGCAAACCATTGATTAATTTAAAAATTTCTGAGCAGATTTTCTTGTTAACCACTTGTAGTATAGCTCTTGAAGTTGTAAAAATAAATTTTGTTTGATACAAAAATAGAACAAATAAATAAAAAAGGTAAAACTGATAATGAAAACAGCTCGAATTGGTGGTGTCGAATAATGATAATGGGCAAATATGCGGATATTGACGAAAGAAATATGAACCTTTGAAATAATTGAAACTGAACTGAATAAATAATATAAGCTTATCTGCTATCTCATATCTTATGTATTCCTGGAAAGGACAGAAGGTCTCTAAGAAGTCAAGAGGTTAGAGGTTTACAGATTTAGAGAACTAAAGGTTAAAGAAGATCGTAATATCATTTCTATTGGTTTCCCAAAGAAAAAGGATTTGATTCGTGGTCTGCGTTCGCCGCCTCACTCACTCCTTATAAATAAGAAGGTGGTGTACATTTAACATATAATTAATTATATGCAAGATTTGTAAGCTATATTCCTTAATTGCTTAATTTTTATTTCTTTATTTTAATTTCGTCTTAAATAGTGAAAATCGTTTTGATTTAGAAAATATTCTGATATTCTCCATTACACATTGGTTGCCTCTATCCATTCCTATTTTATTCACTTTTATATGCGAAAAGAAAGAAAGTTTTGATTAGTTCCAAATTTATGAGATGGTACTTGGCACTTGTCAGGGACCGGACGAATAAATATAGATTGTGTCCATTTTTTCTTCTTGTATATAATATATGCATGCAGTTTGCAAAATATATGTATGCAGTTTGTTTCGTTTATTTGTTGTTCACAATAAATTCTATGAATTTCATTGAAAATTTCGTATTTTATATATCTTTAAGGTAATGTAAGGTAATGAATATAAAGAAATTATATGATACTTATATGATATAATAGCATAGTTTTTTAGAAAAGCTCGTTCATAAATAACGAATGCAAGCAAAAAACGCTCATCTTCTTAATTTGTTTTCTATAATGTTTTTGAATTCATCGAGAAACCTATTTATTATTCAAATGGACGAATTTCTTGCGGAGCAATAATTCTGTTAGAATGGTTATTAGAAACAGAATTCAAAGAACTTTGGAGTAAACGTTTATTCTGAAGGTGCCATACTCACTAAAGCCATTACAGATTCGATTCGCGTCCTCCAAGGGGAATAAATCAATCATTAAAAATGGACTCTGCGTGATGGTTTTTATGTCTAATCGGTTCTGTGATAATCCTAATAGCGAGAAATGGTGAATGTTGTAAGATATATAATAAAGATGGTACCATTCTCTTTATGCATAGAATTCCTTCATTATATATTCAAATCGCTAACACCACCCATCTCTTTAAGATTTACCTACCTAGCGGAAGGAGTCGAATCCTTGCTTCTCAACGCGATAATGCCACTATCCATTCGGCTTTATTTTTTTTTTACAAATAGTTGTACGAGCTTATTTCATTAAGAAAAAGCTCCGTTAAATCACTATAATCACTATCGAATAATGATTTTTTGAAGAAGGATAATTTCCGCTAAATTTGAACAAGCAGTCAATCAGAAATTTTGGAGAGTAATCAAATTTATCGAGTCGAACTGCTAAGCCCTGTGCACAAATTATTTTATATGACTTCCTAAAGGATGAATTAATGATTTTTTAAATGATTTAATTTTCTTGAATCTTTCAGAATTCTGTGGCAAAATTAGTTGCGCTTCAATTATCAATTGATAAGATGAAAATATTGCCTTTTATTTATATTCTTAATTTTGCTTATGGAGCTTGTGCGACTAGGTGCGAGAAACCTTTATTAAAGCCATGGACTCTGATCGATCTGATCATGAGCAACTATTCAAGGTAAATAATTTTGCATAGAATTTGTAAGGGTCGATTAAGTTAAGTCACTTGATGGTAGCATGCGAATAAAAGTGAATTTTGTATGGTAAGTAAAAGTGAATTTTGTATGGTGAATTGTAAGTAAAAGTGATAAGTAGCTTCACGGTTCTTTAGTAGTAGCAGCTCCCTTCACTATCCATTGGTACGAAGTCAGTCTTAATGGCAGTTACTCCTGTCCATGCTAGGTCAAGAAGATAGCCCTGATCAATAACCACTCGATTATCTTGCTGAATGAAATCTGGATGAATGCGGGGGATTAAGATCGATACTCTCGCGAAAAGGTTTTGTCATACTAATCAATGGAGTTGGCCAAATTAAATGCAGTAAGCACTAATATTGAAATTTGTTCTACTGAAGCATTAACGCTAATATTGAAATTTTTCATTTTCAAAATTTTTTGCTTCAAGAATCTAATGAAGACTTAGTATTTTAATCTTTTGCGTATTTTTAAAATATATTTCAGAAGTCAAATGCCTGATCCTCGACCAGTTCCAGTTCAAGTTGAAGTTACTATTCAAGATATTAACGAATTGTCGGTTTTAAGTAGCAGCTTCAGCACTGATTTATGGTTTAGTGCTATTTGGCGTGATTCACGACTCGCATTTAATCATTTGGATCCTTGTAGAATGAATTTATCTTTCGATGATTCCTTTGAAAAGGCAAAAATTTTAAACTTTCGCTATTTTTTGGGTGCTAAAACTTAAACCATTGCAAAAATTCATACATACCAATTAATTTTTTTCTAGCTTCATATGTGAAACATATTGGTAATCTCGGCCATAATTTGTCACAATTTTATTTAGTTTATTCATTTTCGGGCCAAAACGCCCAAATTTTATTTATTTATAGTTTTTGTGGTCGCCCAATGTTTGTCTGGTAAATTCGAAATCAACAGTGGTTCACAGTTCTCCTAAGGCGAACGTTCTCTTAATGGTGATGTCCGATGGTACTGTCTGGCTCAACTATAGAGTATTTTTTCCACAGATTCACCGTAGCGGCTATTTATGCACCATATTTTCAGAGAAATCTAATAAATGAATTCTAACAATCATAATGCTAACAATTTGTAGAAAAATGATTTTCCAAATTATTAGTGAAAAGCTTAATCTTGCGTTACCTTCTTTATACTTTCTTTTTTTCATGTTGCTGATGATTTACAATAATAAGCAGCAAGTGATTTTCCAATATAAATAAATGGTTTTGTGGCAAAGCATATTTGTGGAGCAAATAATTTCAGGTAAATGTTCAAGCACCGTGCGATATGAATTTGGCTGATTTTCCGATGGATGTTCAAAAATGTTATTTGGTGCTTACTTTTTTATTTTAACTCTGATAATGCCGGAGATAAAATATCTCCGGCATTATCAGAGTTTTTCAATGGTATGAGCAAAATGCTCGATATGTTAGTCTAACGAACAAACATTCAGTTATTCTGGCCATAAATTCACGGCCATAAATATAATGTTACGATAAACATCAATGCCACTGTTAATTTATTGAAAAAAAAATTCAATTTTCCAACACATAGAATATTTTTAATATATTCGCTTTCGATGAAAGCCTTTCATTATTCTCATTTCTCACTTTAATCGTACAAATTTTTATGATTCGTGTAATATGAGAGAAAATATGAGAATAAATATGAGAATATGAGTTATGGCTGTTAATTTATTGAAAAAAAACTATTTTAAAGGTTTTCGAAAGTTATTCTTATAATACTGCAACGGTGATTATAAACTGGATGAAAAATGCAGTCACAATTGCAGAAAATAATTGGCGATTATCTGACTTCAGACTCTCAAAGACTAAGACTTATCGGCATATTGAGGTAGTAACATTGTAATCGGCCAAATTTATTTATTCGTTAATTCATTTGTTATTAGAATGGTATTTTTTATTAGGAGCAAATAAAGTTTATGTCAGCATTATAAAGCTGGCTATTTCAGTATTATAAAGCTGGCGAATGGTATAGATTAACTGTTGAAATGGAATTCCAAAGGCTATATGGATCATACATTTTGCAGGTTTTATTTTGCTATTAATACATATTAATATCGTATTTTGCATATCACTATTCTTAAATTTTCCTTTAACAGCTTTTTTTTCCATTCCATCACCATTCCTCCTATGGCTTGCTTCATTGACATTATTACTGCCATTAATTTTATTCATTTTTCTTTTTAATAAGAATAAAAATATACGGAAATACGAAAACTGATTAAATGTGGTTATTTTTTCACAATACAATTTGTTCTTAAAATATTTCCATAAAATTTCCCACATTTTCCAGTCATTGATTGCGCAGGTTACTATTCTCTTCTCTATTGAATTTTGAATTTGAACAGATCTAGAAAAAACAGATTTGCGCAGTTGTCAGTAAAGTCAGCCAAATCAGTAATGGTGCGAACTGAAGAATAAAAAAATTTGCACTAAAATTTATTAGCCTAAAATTCAGGTATAAAATTGCAAACTAATTCTACAGAACTTAAAGTTTGCAGGCCATTTATTTATTTTTTACCAGATTTTATTTTTTTAGATGTATTTGCCAACTTATACAACGGTCTTTATTTCGTGGATTTCATTTTGCATCGAAACCAAAGGAATTCCAGCTCGAATTATTTTGGGAGTTAATTCACTGATGGCGCTAATTTTTCAAGTATTGGTTTTTTATATTCCACAGAATAATCGTTCCGGTGATTAACTTTTTCGAATGGTTCCTTTGCCAAATGTCAGATATTAACTTTTAATATCTTGCAAATTCAATGATTTTAAATTCCTATAAGTTGTTATTGTTATTTATAAGTCTGCTGCTATGATAGATGTTTGCATCAGTACGCGATGATTTTCAGAAAAAAAAGCTTTTTTCAGTTCGGAAATATCATACGGACATTGCCACCCGTATCTTATATAAAGGTATTTGATAAATTCTTTCTTCAGTTCTAATTTAGAATCCACTGATTATTAGAATGAGACTCTTTTAAAGAACTTTTGTCATTGTGGGATAAAAGAATGAGGATTACACGTCCAACTACTCCTGTAAAAAGCCAGATCTACTATATTTTATATCATTTGATATATTTACAAGAATGATATTTTATAATATTTTATTAAGTATATTTCTGTTCAGTTCTCACCATTGCTGGTTAGCTGGTTAGCTGGCTATAAGGGTAATGTTTCCGAGCTGTTCGGTCTGATGCCATAGCCGATAATAATAAAAGCCATTCCTATTTCCGTCGCATAAGTCCATATATTGCTGGTCCATCTATATCTTTTGACTTTGTCAGTCTAAGTCTTGATTGGTTTCTCTCGCTCTTGAAACCCATCACAAAATTTAGAAAGTAATGAAATATGTGTTAACTCTTGTGATGAGCGATGAAGAACATGCCCTAACCGGTGACGCTGACGGTACTTATAATGCAAGTAGTATTTCGTATTTGAAGGTCAATGCGAGATTTTATCCACTTGGAGGCATATAACTTCTAATATACTCCACTCCCAGTGGAAGATCAAGCGAACTGCAACTAAAGAGATGCAGTTTCGTTTTTATACTGATTTCGCGACGAGTCCATAAAGGTTTTGCCATCTGGAAGAACGTACTTCTGGGCACCACTATCCAGATTGTAATTTCGTCTCCTGGCTATTAGGGATTAGACAAGATATATAAAATCTGCTTCTGGTTTCTTATTTATATTAATCATTGCTATAGTTGCGTTCCTGCATAACTATTGGCAATATAGTTCAGCCAATCCAGTACCTGTGACGCTATGCCCTGGTTCCCTTAAACACAAAAATTTTGGAAAATTTTCCTGGAGATGTCTAAGCAGGATGATTCCTCGATAAAACCATAGTATGGTCTTATCACTTTTCTTGGGAATTGGGAATATTTTGCTGCAGCCATCATTTGCTATTTTTTTCCATACCAGAGAGTACATTTGTTGAAGACGAATGATGATGGACAATATTTGAACATTTTGAGCTCGAAGACACCATCCTTTCTAGCCTTAGGCTTCTGGATAATGGAGATTATTCCTTGTTCCTTTGTTTTTCAATTTCCAGCTTCCCAACTTATTGCGTGCATATCTCTTCTTTCTGAGCATTTTGGATCCGGGATGTAGCGCAGAATTAATCCATCTCCAACTGAGAGAGTTTCCTCTTTCTTATATTGAAGTAATGACCTTACTATTTTTAGTGTAGATATATGCCTTTTTTCCATCGACAGTGCCTTTATATGTTTCATATGCCCCTTTGATTAGATTTATAGTAATATCCCATCAATTCTTGATTATTTTGTCTCTTACATGTAAGATACAATTGGTTCCGGTAGCCCTTTTGATGCCAGATTGCTGTGGTCCCACAACTAATAGCGTTGTTCTAATAGCACACTTGTATACATATCGAATTTAGCACATTTGGATGTCAGATAAATCTGATACGAACAAAAAATTTTTGATATTTCTCATCGACATCTGACGTTTGACCTAGGTAGTGCAGGGGATTTATGTGCATCCCCTAATGAAAAGTATTATTCTAACAGTAAATGGAATCAGCCAAACCATAAATTATGAATTGTTATAGGAGAAGGAAGGAATTCGATTTACTTGTTTTTTGTGTGCATTATTGTAAAAAATTTATGTTATAGTGAAATATTTATTTTCAGGCTATTGACATATGGATGATAACTTGTGTGGCTTTTATTTTTGCTTCGATTTTGGAACTGGCATATATCGCTTACATGGTAAAATAACTATGAATTTAGAAAACCGGACCGGATTATGACTTTTTTTGTACGACAATAGTGCAATATTTCCAGATTTCATGCGAAAAACTACTCAATTTAGAAGGCCGAGAATATTATAGATTCCGAGATAGAAGCTGGAAACATCCACCATCACCCATCATTTGAGGAATGTAGATAGCACTGACAAATAAAGTTTTTTCCAGGATAAAAAAATGTTATTGAAAAGGATTAATACGAAATTCACGATTGCGACAATGATCTCATCTGTCAAAAGTTTTATTGATCCATTATTTGACCGTCGTCTTGCGAATAATCAAGAAGAGGTTCATTTATTCGGAAGGCCTTCCTTTTGCTCTATTTACCGTATTTATTATATAAAGTTTAGCTGACTTAATTAACCATAAAGTGAAGACATGTGGTGTAAAGACAAGAGAGCTATTTAGAAATGGATTTATAGGTGTGGTCCGAAAAAAAATTGGATTTCACTTTTAATAGTATGGGTTACCTTCGTTAAAAGAAAAAAATCGAACCCTTCACGCTTCAGCTGCACTTATTTTATAAAATAATGAAACTATGATTAACAGAGTTGTGGGGCCCAACTGTTTCTAATACATTTTTTGCGAATTTTTTTTATTTTTCGAATCCGACTCAATTTTTAAGATCAAGTAGTCAATAAATCTTCAATCAGTTCAAATAAATATCGTCCCTTATCGAGACATTTTTGAATAACGAGAAAATGAACAAAAGGTGAACTGGATTGAGAATGCACTTTTTTTATTGGGGATTTGAGGAATTGCTTGCTTATCCATTTATGAAAAGGATATTCAGATATGTGCTGATTTAAAATTGGCAGTAAAAAAGTCAAGAAGAACTTATGATACTAAAATGGGTCGAATACATGAAGAAAACATTCTTAACATAGGTAGCCGAGTTGATCGAATCTCGTTTTATGCATTTCCACTGGTAACTTCAATTTCTTCAAATTTTAAACTAGTTATGCAGAAAACTTAGATACTCGATTTTTTGGTGAGAGCACGGTGATTCCCACTCCCAATATCTAGCTTTCTTCGGGAATCTACTCTACTTGTTTTCTGTATAGATTTAACAAATCTCCTGCCACGCGGGACTTTTATTTCTCAACAATATTATAAATTCTGCTGCCAAAGTTGTCTTAATGATTATCTCGTTGCGAACTCTCACACCTGGGTAATTAAACCTTTTATTAGTAAATAAATATATGCAAAAAAAGCAAAATGACGAAATTACAAAGAAAAATAAACCTAACATAAAAATGTATAAAAGCCAAGTTCACATTGCTCCCCACTCCTATTCCCAACAGAAGATCTTAAAATGATCTCTTGAGAATTTATATTTAATTTTAACTAATTTTAATTTGAGATGGGAAGCAAGATTTATGATTTTTAATCCTCTCAAAATAAAAGCTATATTGTACCTCTCATTTATGAGGTACTCTACTATTATTCCGCGATATTTTTTAATATCTTTTCCAACTCTTTCCTCTCTTATTTCATTAATTCTTTTGCTGGGCATAGCACGTGCGTTGCGAATGACCTGCTCGTATTTGCAGCTTTTTTCGTCATTCGGCGACTCTAATCCTTAGAAACAACTTGGTCCTTTTGCTTATTTCTTGGACCAGGCTTAAGCTATTTCATCATAATAACTGAAAAAAATGATTTAGAAGAGACCCTTTAGAACTGTCCCTTCTGACTTATTATTTCTAGCTCGGCTGGCTCTAATTACGAAAAGAAGCATTTCTATCCAGAGTCATTTAGCTGCAAAGTTGAAATTGGTTTCTCAATTTCAATTTTCTTTAAAAAACAGTAAATGAAATATCTCAGCCTTAGTCAATACAACAAACGACATGATCATCTTATTCCTCTTTAGTATTACTGACTGATATAATCGAAACTTTCGAAGTTTGCTCCATAATTTTTAAATTAAATGTCAAAATTAATTTTAATAAGTCGTTTTGCAGGCATTTTTATGTTTTAATATCGTTTATTGGGGCTATTATTTATCGAAATAATAACATCGCTTATGGTTTGATCAGTTTGGTATTTAAATCATAAAAATTATCAAATAATGAAATAAAACGAAACGAATGGTTGAAAATACAAGAAGAAGCAGTTGCCTATAAAATCACTGCATCAACTTATGAAAACTTCTCATTTTGTTATTTATTATTTGTTTGATATAAAGATCGAGCACATTTTAATCCAAGTTTTACAAAGCTATGCATTAGCAAAAATAATGGAGAGCCTTGACTACAGCATTAAAATAAGAATGTAATAATAATTGTAATTTTGTAATTTTAATAAGAAAAATATTCTATATAGCAAATTCTACAAAAAAAACTGAGAAGAGAAATGACAAACTACCCAAAATAATGAGCCAATTATAAAATATTGATAAAATAAAATGAAACTAGTTATTCAATCAGTGGATTACATTTAAAAATTTAAATGGCTCATAGGAACAATAATATATATTTAGAAGTGGAAACAGAGGGAGCGAAAACAACAATTTATTTGGCTGTAACGAAGAAATTTTAATTTTGAAATTTCCTACTCATTTTGAAATCTCTTCTACTTTTCTACTATAAGTTTTAAAAATCAGAAAAAAAGTTTTAAAATTTTAAATAAGTTTTAAAATTATACGTAGATTGAGTTATCAGACCCATTTTTCTAAAAATTGAAATTGAAAAATTTTGAAAAAATTTATAAGAATAATAAATTGGAACCGATAACATAAACTGATCTATAAAAATATTCGGCTATAAAATATTCATAATTCGGCCAGTCTTTATAAACGGGCCATAACAAATATACCCTCTTTATAGAAATTAAACATTGATGATCTTAGAAGCAACGTGTTAACGGCTAAAATGATGTTACCTAATAATTACAATTGGTTTATTAAAATACATATGCACACAAACCTAATACATATATATATATATATATATATATACGTTCTCAGAATGCTCAGAAAAACATTGCACAGTTGCGCGTTGAACCAAACGTATCTTGATAGGTGTGTTAAACGACGTGGCATGATCCTCTCCTGTCAAACTATCAATCACCTTATTTTGAATCAGGAATTTTTAAATTAATTCATTGCTCTAATATTTTCCTAATTAAAGATTCTTTTTTTATTGAAACTGCTGTTATAAAAGAAAAAAAAGTCGATACAAAATTGTCATTTTTGTTTATTTCGATAATTTTTCATGGATATATGGAATATCGGATTTTAAATATGTTAGAGATTCTTGTCTCCGACACAATAAACCTGCGAATTAAGAAATCCGATTGATACTAGCGACTCATCTTTACTTCAATCACCCTTTAATTTCTTCTTAAAAATTTCACTATATCAACACGCAGCGAATTAGCCCAACTAGAAATATGTTCCAAAATGGCGAAAGGAAAAAGGCTAATTTGGGGTCTAAAAATGGCCTGCAGTTTGCCTTATCAACCACTGTTATCAAAACGATCGATGAAAAAGAGATTGTTGATTAAGCAGTTTTCATCAACTGCGTTAGTGGTATGTAGAGTAGCAAATCTGCAAAAAGAATTCAAATATGTTGTAAATAAGACAACTGCATCTACAAAAAAAAGAGCAAAAAATCAAGCTGGTCAAAAGCCAATAGGCTACGAAAAAGAAAAAAAGCCGGTCGACTCTAAAAGTAGTCTTTTCCATTTGCTGTTTGGACAGATGAACTCGGTCATTTAATATGAAATAAGAAAGCAAATTTGTTCCATATTTCACAAATTTTTATTTTTATTAAAGATTTAATGGTTTAAAAAAAACAAATTAATGTCAAAGCGATCCAACATATTAAAATAAAAATAATTTTAATTTAAATAATTCAGTTGCCAATTTTTCGCAAAATCCTTTTTTTTGTGATTTATGTATCTTTTATTTCAGCGAATTTCTGTTAACAAATATTTTTGTCGTCCAAGTTTTATTAGTTTTTTTATAACAAAAGTAGTTTTTTTTCTTTATTCGAATAGAATGTATTACGACACACTAAAGGCAAAATGGTAAGCGAATGCATAATGGTTCAGGCAATTTGCTTACGACTTATGTCGTAAAACTTCATCAATTCATCTTTTTTGTCTATTAACGTTTGTAAATAGGTAGAATTAGAACTAATTTAAATTTGAATTTAAATTTAAAAAATTTTTTGTCAAGTGAATTCGAAATAAATAAAAATGGTGAAAAATATAAAAATATCAATAAAGCAAAATGTATATATATTATGTTGTTTATGTTGGTTGAACAAATAAACAGTAGGCTTTTAGCGAAAATCTTATTTCCCATCAGAGACATCTCTCTGGCTCGAATTCTAATCAATCAATGTCAACTGCTAAATTATCGTTGGATGGAGACTTATTCGAGAGTATAACTGCCCTTGCCAAAAAATGCCAAAATTGCCATGTTTGCTATGTTGTGTTTCACGATCACCTGCCACATTAAGAGATATTGGCAAGTAATAGATAGAAATTTCTTCTATTCTCTTAAACATTTCAAAAATCTTTTGCTTCTTTCATTAATTTTCATTCGAACTATTTTGCTTGTGGTGTAGTATTTAATCAAAAATGCATAGTAAATTACGGATGACGAAATGTCGGTTTTCATAAATAGCTTTGAGCCACAATTTTGCCACATTTTTCCGTAGAAAAAGGTGACTATCAATGAAAAAAAAAATTCCCTCGAGAAACAATTTTCCCAGCTAATAACTTTTTCTTCCATAAATTTAGCCAGAAAGAGAATGGATGAATGGATGAATTTATCGATCAGTGCTCTAAGAAACGAATTTCTGAGACTTTATAACAACAATATATATTCTTTATCGAACAGCACGCATTATTTCTAGTTTGGCTTTTCGCACTGGCTGCTAGGATGGTTTGCTTCGCTTAGAGTTGAAATACAATTGAGTTCCCATTATCACCCGGATTTCACTTTTAATGATATACTTACCTTCTTCAAATGACAGGAATCAGGCTTATGGCTTATGCTTGGTCTTAAGTGAACATCGAATTTGACTATGGTTTAATATAAAAATTAAAAGAATTGTTTTTGTGTAAATCGTAGAACAAAATGACTTATTTGTGCCACCATGGAATTTGTGCTAAGGAACCATCGGTTTCTATTCATTAATTAATGACCTGATTTCCGGCAAGAAGGCAATAAAATTTTTTTTCTCGACTGAGTTTGAAAAATGGTCGTCATCCTTTGCATTTGTTTTTTTAATTCTTCTGTCTGTGCAGTTGAAGTGATATATCCAAAAAATTCAACGAGTGGCTTTAAGCATATGAAAAATCAAAGTTGGAATGGGCTACTCATATTCATATTCACAATCCAATTCATAGAAAAATAATTTTTCATATTCATAATCCAATTCATAGAAAAAAATAATAATAATTCATAAATTTTTTAATAATTTTTTAAAAAATAATTTTTTTTAATAATTTCATTTTTTTATTAAATTAATTAATTTTATTATATATTTATTTAATCTATAATTTTATTATACATTTTATTTATTTTATTATTTTTATTAATTTTTATTGTACATTTTTATAATTAAATGATTATAACTTTTTTATCAATATATTTTATTAATATTTTATGCCATTGTTTTTAATACTTAAATGCATAGCTGTTCCATTCGACCTTCTAGGTGAATTATAGGCTTTTCAACAATTTAATTTTTCATATTTTCTAAATTTAATTTAAAACTTAATTTTACCGCGATAAATTCTTATTTGCTACAAGTATTATTAGTATTAGAAATTGGTTATCGCTTGTTTTTGATTAGACTGGTTCCACCGTATGTTAGTATGGTGAGAAATTTTTGCAGTGGCTCAGTTAGCGATAGAAGTATAGGCCACTTCCCGATTTTTTAGATAATTTGTTCCTATCAGCTGGAGTATCTGAATCTTTGACACTCAAAATGATATCGGTATTAATTTTTCAATGAAAATATTTTTTATGTTTGCGCATTTCTTTTTGGTTTTTTTGATAATGTTTGCTTATTTAAATGTATTAATGTATTCATGCAAGAATGTGTGGTAAAACTATTATTATGAGGCTTATGCAAATAGAAATTTTAAGCATGGCAATATGAGGTTTGTTCCATTCCATGAAATTTGTTTATTTTTTCTATTTTTAATTTTACTTAATTTCTAATTTTTATTGATCGAAATTATAAAATATCATCGATTATATGGCTTAGCATTGCACTGCACGGCTGGCATGTCATGGTATGGCACTGCATGGCTGGCATGGCAAGTCCAATAACTATTTCTGTGGCTAAAAATTGCTAAATAATTGTAATTTTGGTCACTTAAAAAGCAAATTAATTTTCAAGTTTAAAGTAAACTTAAAGTAAGTAAGTTTAAAGTCAATGAAAAGTGGTGAAAAGCTTTTTGCATATTTTCGTCAAGAAATATTAACATGAATAATGAAATCTGTGGATATGTGAACTATAATTCGTAACGATTAAAATTTAACGCTTAAGTTAAGTGGCCATAGGTTCGATATTCTTTCCATAGGAGTAAAGTCATCATTAAAAGTAAAATCCAGTTGGAGATAGGCCAATTTCTAGCCCGAACTGACTCTGTGGGAAAAGAGACACAACCTAATAATCAACCGATCCCACCAGAAATGATGTGTGTTATTTTAAGGAAAGGAGGAATCTAGACGATCAACTCTTATATTATAGCGCGCACCACAGCATTTAGCGAATTATTTCTCCTGTTTCTTAAAATGAAGTTGGAGAACTTTGGGTTCCCAGTTATATCTGAGTTTGGCTTTTGATAACTAGCTTAGACCTGTTATGGAGCAGAAATCAAACTTATAATGACAATATATCCATATAATTTTTAGCACATTGCTTTCGTAATAATAAAATATAATGAATGGGATCGTTCAAAATGGGAGCGATAAATCTCGTTTTTTCAGTTAATCCAATCTTCTTGCATTTTTTGAATTTCCTATTTTCGTTTTCCCTGATTTTATGAAATTCCTTGAAAAACATTTTTTATAAATATAATGCCTGGAATGGTTTTTTCACGTTCACTCCACTGCCTTCTGATATGGATTATTTTTATTTTAAATTATTGCTTATTAGAAATATACAAGTAAAATTAAGTAGTACTCACTCACCTTTTCTACTCAGGCGTGCTCCATTGGCAACTATTGTATTGTATTTTTTGACAAGAATTAGCGACAGAAGTGCAGGGATCTCATCATCCTCCAGATCTTTCAGTGATAAACTTATTCATATCGGAAGTAAAATACGAACTTCAACGCTTGGAGCGATAACTTCAGCAACAACCCACTCAGCTATCTTGCCTTATCAGAAAAGCATATGTGTCGCCAAGGAAGAGGAATCGATTCCACAGATTTTTTGTGGAAAGTCGGAAATAAGTCGAAGTGAAAAGAATTTTTCCAACAAAAATATGCTTATCCATCTTATACAATGAATGTATTAAAACGCTCAGAATCGATAAGTCAATAAGACTTCCTCAATCGCTTAAATTTCGCCCTTCAATTCGAATCATTTATCTATGCTTAACCGACTTCCCGAGATTCGCTTTTCTTCCTTTGTTCACAATTGCTGCTCGTTCTTCCCGTTCCTCGCAACTAGTTTCCATCAATAAATAATTCTTTTCTTGTTATTATTTACTACATTTTTTCGATTTTTTTTGCGTTTTTAAAATTTTGAATTTAAATTTAAAGCTTTTGCCCGATGAATATTATTTTAAAAAAGTATAGATTTACCGATAAAAATTTTGCAATATTTTTTTGTTTTCCGTTTTTAATATTTTCAATATTTTTATTATTTGTTAAGCTTCCGGCCCTCCTCACATATGGCTTGTGTATAAAATTTTGTGCTTTATGGACAAATTATGTTCTCAAAGATAATGGACTGAGGATTACTCGCCATTCTAGAACAAAATTTATCGAATCAACTTGATGGAAATATTTTAAATATTTTGTTCAGAATTTTTTTTTAACGTTGTAATTTCAATAAATTTTAACTAGATTTGCGTTTTCATTAGAATTTACTTTTTTATTCTGTAAAGTGAACAACCTTTCGGTAAATCCGAGTCAGCTTTTAATGCATTAATTATTATTAATTTTAAATGCCATATCCGATATGAGATCCAATTACCTAAATTCGCTTTATATAAGTTTAATTATTTGGATATTTCTTTATTCACTTTGAGAAAATTATACCAAGAAATTCTTTAAGTATACCAGGGGTTGAATAATATTTTTTATCACTTTTCATTGAGATCTACCTGTACTTCTCCAAGTGAGTGAGTCTTTAGCGAAGACCTTTCATCCTGTTAGCCAGTGATGCAAATCTAACCAGAAATTGTAAATGCTATAGAACGAAAAAAAATTAAACTAAAGCATAATAATAAGCAATAAGCTTATTATAAGCAATAATAGGCAATAATAATAAGCTTTCTAATTTCCTCTTTGATAGGTTATTAATGAAACCAAATTTCATATCTTTTGGAGAAAAGTCAGATCTTAAAGCATTAAATATCATTTTCATTTCATTTTCTTTTTTCAAAAATTAATTCGACCGAACCTGCAATAAAATTTTAGGTGATCAAAGTTCAAAGTTTCAGTTATTATCAGAAATTAAACATATAAATATTTAGGATGGTGGCAATATTATATCACTAGCTAGGCTATATATATATATATATATATATGAGTAAAGTTGAATTCAATGCATATTTTCCTGATATACTTAACAATAAAAATTTTTGCCAGAAATAATAAATAAATAATAACTGACCATAAATCACCGAATAAAATTATTGGATTTGCCAATATATTTATAATGGTATAATAGTGGGTTAATCGGTAATTTATCTATTCACCATCGGTGACTTTTGAAGTAATTTTAATTTTAATAATATTTATAATTATTCAATAATCGTTTAACAACAATTTTTTTACAAAATTATTTTTGAAATAATGAGTTGCGATTGATATTCAGCAACGTTTGCGTAACTTAAATTTAGAAAATAAAATAAAGGGGCTGGTGAATAGAAAGGCAGAATAGCCGAGTTTTTGTTGATTGAATTATCATTTCGAGCATCATGGCTCGGCTTTCAGAATCATAACGGAAATAAATCTATAAATGAAAATTGCTGGTGGTAATGGAAACTCACCTCTATTTCTGCCTTCAGATATCTCTCAAATTATTTCACCATATAACAGCTACCAGCTTCCAGCATAACCATCTACTAATGATGAATGGTGACCACTTAGAAATATATAAAGAATACAAAATATAATAGAAATAAAGAAAATAAAATTATTAAATTTATCAATAGTAAATTTTTGTTGTATTTGAAATTTTATGATTTTGGAAAGCGTTTTTATTGGAACATTTTTCATTTAAATTAGTTGTACTAACAAATACAACTTTTATTGCCTATTTATCAAAATTATTGCATTGGTCAAAAATTTCTGAAATATTGCGAATAAATTTTGCACCATTTTCTTTTTTTCCCAGTTTTTAGCATTTTTTCTTTTACTCGACGAAAATAATCCTTTTATTAAAAAGTCCGGGTAGTGCTGACCATTCATCCTGTAATTTTATCTTCAATTGGCTTTCTGGCAAAAATTTCATGCATTCGTTGGACCTAACCAGAAATAATTTTTTTTTTTTTTAAAGCTTTCACCATTACTAGTTAAACTCGCTCCACTGACTTGTCGCATTGGAAAATACGCCAGAGAACCTCTTGGCGATAGAAATACACTCGCCAGTATCACTCGGATTTTCGAACAAATTTACTCCTACTGGGAATAGAACTTTAGTATCGGTGTTCTGAATTAAGCAACAACCCACTAAGTCAACCTATCCCCAACCAGAAATAAGCGCTGACGATTTACTTTTACTTATATATTTTTTAATAAGCAATAATTTAAAATAAAAATAATCCATATGAAGGGAGTGGCGAGATAAAAAAATAGATTTATACACATACTTAAATTAAGTGAAATAAGAAGTCAAAATTGCCATGAATTTCTAGAATTATTTTATTTACAAGAATTCAATTAATCAATTTTCTGTTTTTTGATATTTACTGATACAATTTAATCAATAAAAAGTTCCAGAAAAATTCAGGTTACATTCGTCATATTTCTCTTTACCTATTACCTATCTTTTCCTAAGAGGAAAACTGGTCAGATTCTGGAAATTTAGCTCATCTATTATTGTTGACCTCTGATGACTTTGACTGTATATATTGCATCAATAACGGGTAATACTGAGGTAAGATTTCTTTCAAGTTTTCAATATCAGAAATTTTTACCATTTCGATCCGGATTTTCTAATTTGATAATTAGCATAAGCTTCAGATTCGCTTCATCCTATTTATCTGTTGCTTTTTTATTGCCGAGTAATAAAAATAGGACATGAAAGTGAGGATGAAGTAAAGTTTATACAAATATTGCAATTACTGTTGCCTGTTGAAAATCAAAACGGCTGCAATTATCAATGAAATTTTTTAATGATATATTTGCTTCTGTTAGTCGAAGAGACAGTACCTGAACCTTTTTGCTATTTGCTATTTGCTTGCTGTTCATTTACTATTTAATCTTTCCCTTATTTATTTATATCTTTTACTGTAATTTATTTAATTCATTTCATTTTGCGGTCCTCTAAATTTCTTGTTATTTTCCCATAATTTCTTCCATGTTTAATTGTTGCGCTAAAATCGAATTATTTATTATTATTAAATAGGTAGGTCGATCACATTTCAGTGAATTTTGGTAAATGATTTACCCAAATGAAAGGAGATAAAAACAATTAATTTTTATTACTTAAATGTTATAGTTTTATTTAGTCTTTAATATTGGTCTTTTAGTTTAACATTGGGATTTTAAAAGGTGTTTATAATGGAAAATAATAAATCCCTCGCAATTAATAAACTCGGTCCTTAATTTAATTAATTTTAATAACTAATAATTATTATTACTGCCGAAAAGTCTAAAAAGATTAGTAGAATAAATTTGTTTAGTCGATTTTCTTATAAAAAAATTTCTTTTGATTTTATTTCACAAGAAAATTCTCGATTCAGTGGAAGCATAGAATAATATTTCAGATTCGTAAACAAGTTCAGAGGACATTAATGATTTTAGATGGACTGGGAGTACCATTTAAAACCATCGATATAACGCTTCGAGGAAACGAGGAACATCGAAAATTTATGCGAGAGAATGCAAACAATGAAAGATGTGATGGAGTCCCATTGCCACCGCAGTTTTTTCTTGACGATAAATATTTAGGAGTATTTGTTTTTTAATTATTTTTCTCAATTTTCTTTTAAATCTTTCGTTAAATATCCTTATTGTTGATGATAGAGGTAATGTCCGAACCATGATATTCAAGACGACAGGTTTATTAGGTTCCATTTTCACTGATTAACGGAAATATTCGATTATTGTAGGAGAGATAATTATCGATTATAGTCATTTTGTGATAAGAATTTAAAAAGCCTTTTTTGCTTGCTCAGTGGATCGAATCTTCATATTTGTGGCTCAATCTTGAATTTTATGCTGCTGCTTTAACTAAAAATATATTATATTTTGTAGTAATCGAGTTTTCAGAATTATTTGGATTTTGAAGAAGCTGTGGAAGATAACCTTTTGCCAGAGTTTTTACAATTGGTGCCTCCGGTGAGTTTTTAAATTTAATGACAATTTTAGCTTAATTGAACAGATAGAATGAAATTTCTTCGATTTTAGCTTGGGATCAAAGGTCAGAATGGATTAAAAGTTTTATTTTTGCTTTATCTTTTTTTTAATGTTTTCTATATCTTATTAATTTTAGACCGATGAAGGTGAAGAAAAGGTAAGCAAATGTCAAATTTCTTATAATTAAATTCTAAAACTTTTGTAATTTATACATCTTTTAATTTTAATTTCTATAAGCATTGCTGAATTTTATTTTTTTTATCAAATTTGATCTGACTTTTCAACTATAGGTCTGTTAATTCCTTTAATCATCTTCCATATACTGGGCTCATTATTTATATTTCTAGGTTTTTCGTTCAAGGGATGGGTTGGCCCAGTGGGTTAATTTTTATTTTGAGATTCGAACACTGGAGCTTTACCCCTGGCAGGAATAAAATCATTTCTCAAAAATCCAGACGACCCACCTATATTTATGTCGAATATACTATTCATTTTTTTTATAACTGTTTCACTGATTATTTGTTTGGAAGTTTGAAATTTCATTCAACCAAAAATTTAAAAAATTTTGATTTGTAATTGATTTATAATTTCGTGCAAAATTAACGACCTTTTCTTTTAATTAACGGTACTCCTGGAATGTTCATTTCTACCTGCAATTATCTAGGACGTTGCAAAATTGTTGCATTATCATTTTTTTTTAATTAAAAATGTCTTCTATGATAAAAAGATAGTTATAAAGAGAAACAGACAGTTCGGTGGGTTAGAACATTTCTTTAAGTTTCAGCATTATAGGCCCTTCTGATTTCTTTCCCATGGTAGAAAACCCTTTAAAAGCAAAATCCATGTTGAAAACCCATCTGCACTTGCTATCCTTTGTGAATCACTTTCTCTGGTAATCAAAGGCGGACACTATAAATGATAAGTGTTGAGTGCTAAAGGAAGAAAGAAGGAAAGAAGGTATTATAATAAAAATTTGGAATGCCAAATGAGGAAAGTTCAAGTTTGACGTTGTAACCCATTCATTTCTAGCAGGTAAAGAAGTTCTAACGATTGGTATGTTCATTTTTTTATTAAAGCACCATTTTTTTCGCCTTTCGCTCCACTATATTTCTATAGTTCTGGGTAATAAAAATTTTTCTGTCATCTCTTTACCCAACTTACGCAAATTTATCAAAATATATTTAATGATGAATAGGACAATACTATAGGTAAAGTAAAGCAAAAATTCACTTTAAATTTAATTTTTGAAAAGTGCCAAATTTTTCATTTCATTTCATTTTACATTTCACATTTCCATGAAATTTACGAACTTCAAAACTACGATTGGTAATGTTGAAAATCTAAAAAATAACAATTAACTTTAAAGTACTCGCAATCACCGCAGAATGCTTTATTTGTACACTTTTCTGGCTATTTTTTGTTTACGCACCAAAAATTTTCCTATTGCATATAAAATCATTTTTTCGATTGAAAGAACAACTTTTTTCAGGCAGAGAATGAAGATATCGAAGACGAAGATTATGAAGGATATGATGATGAGAAGTATGATGAAGAAGATGAACAGGAAGGAGAAGGCGAAGAGGAGGAAGAGGAGGAAGATGAGGAAGAAGATGAAGCTGAAAAGGAAAATGGAAACGATGCTATAAAAAATAATGAGAAAAAAAATGATGTAATGAAGGAATTAGAAGAACGGATTAAAGATGATGCTGATGAGGATGAGGAAGCGGAAAATGAAGATGAGGGATGAAGCTTATAGGAATATTGTTTGCCAAATATTTTTAAAAATATGGGTTTCGCTTTTCATTTTTCATTTTCCCCGTTGGTGAGGCAATTAATTTTCTCCATTCCTGAAAAAGAAATAATTATCCATTTATTGTCAACTGTCAATTTTACTTCAGTCCTATACGTGAATTTTTAATGAACTTTTATGGATCATCATCGATATTTCCTCGACCCTCTTCCCCCCTTCTTTCTCCTCTTCCTTCTCCTCCTTCTCCCACTTTTTATCTTCTTTTCCTCAACTTACTTACATTCACTTCTCATTATGATCTAAAAAATATTTTTCCGTCTTTCACTCGTAGCATAGTGGCAAAAAATTGGCATTCCTGAAAGAAAGAAGCGATTTATAGTTTGCATTTTTTATTCATTGTGAAAAAAATAAACGAATTTATTTAAACGAATTTAAAAAATGAATTAATTTAATGAGCATTAATGAAATAAAATAAATACTATTAAATAAATATAATTTAAAACAAATTAAAATAGAAATTAGAGTGTCCCAATGGTATATATTAAACTATCACTTCAAACATAATACTTAGGTTCATTATTACTTTAACAAGTGAAGTGAAGCTTTTTGATCAAAAATATTTGTCTTTACTTCGAACCCACAAAAAAAAAGCTCACTACTATAGATCTTGGATGGATTTTGCATTAAGAGAAAAGACAATCACCCTTCGATACGGCCTTACTCAAAACTATATATCTCCTTCCTTTCTGTAAATGATAAGCATAAAAGTACGGGAACGAGAATGGAAGAAAAAATATATTTACACAACAAAAATACAATTATTATACCACCGACGCGATGCTCTTACAATGAAAGAGAGTGATGATAAAAATCAAAAATCTGAGGAAAAAAGTGAGCAGCACATTATTTTACACATTTAAATATTTTTTTGCAAAAGAAGCTTTAAAACTTGTAATCTCAAATATATTAAAAAGACAAATAATGACGCATTTAAATATAATGATTTAGCCACTTACGCGAACTATATAAGTTCTTGAAAATTTAATCCATCTTAGAAATATTTTTTTATCCTTGACTTTATCCCAAAATATTTTTGAACATTTGAATATTTAATCAGTCCCAAAATATTTCGTCGTGAAATAATACGGAATGATAAAGCTAATATCGCTAGTGAGAATGGTTATTTTGGGAAAACTTTCCATGATTTGCTTAATGCCTGGAATCCTATGAATTAATACTTCTGAATTTTTCTGAAAGATATTTTCCGATTTCTAAATAAAAATTTATAAATCCATAGATAACTTAATGAAATGAGAAAAGCAATGAAAAGCATATATATATATATATATATATATATATATATAACACAAGGAAAAGATATTTTCCTATATTTACTCCTATTTTTCAAATTATAAAATTGAATAATTTGCGAAACCAAGAAGTAACCACTTTTATTACCAAAGGTTGCAATGACTAAGCCAAAGAATAAAAAGAATTACTTGAAGGAGTAGCAAATAATGTCAACAATAAGGTATTTCCTTCATCTACACCAGTTTTTAAAAGAACTGTTAAAGCTTTAATCACAGTAAAACCAGTACCTGAAATTATGATAAGCAATATAGTAAATAATAGAACTGATAAAGCTTGTAAAAACCACCTAAAATATGCATTTGAGATCTTTAGGAGGGAACAAGATGTAAGCAATAAAATGAAAATAAAAGCACTAACTCAAAATAGGATAAAGCAAAAGAACTCTTCGTGAAGCAATATCTGGAACAAGTCGAGCATACAACAGTTGAGTATCATCACCCACTAAAATTTTCCCTATCCTTATAGATCTGAAATTTTGAAAATATTTTTCAAAAACTGAACCATTTGTTTAGATGGCATTAAATGGGAAAGTCAATTTATAACAACGGATTTTCAAATCCTTATTTAAAAACAAGATCAGTAAAAGCCATGCGTTCACTTATTTTTTTTATACTTGTTATAAACAAAAAGAGTTTCTTCTAACAACTCTCATCATTATTGGTTAGGCTGATTCCACTGGTTACAAGGGTAAGATGTTTCTGAGCTATTCGATCCGACGCCATCATCGACAGTAATAGAAACCATTCTTTTCCCATCGTGTCCATATATTGCTGGTCCATCTATACGTTCTTTTTTATCTGTATCAGTCCAGGTCTTGATTGGTTAATCTCGCTTTCGAAGAAACCTAACACAAGGTAAAGCAAGGAAACAAGGAAACGAAATATGTCAACTCTTATGGTGAGTTACGAAGAATGTGCCATAATCAGCGAAGGCTGCGACGACGGTACTATTAATGCAAGTATTTGAACGAAAGTAGATGCGATCATGTGATATTTTATTCACTCGTAAAATATATCTTAGTGATCAGAGGTAGATAATTTTCTAATATCTTCCATTTTCATCGAATATGCCTTTTGTTTGCATTTCTTCGTCATAATTGTCAGTAAAAAGGACTACATTACTAGCGTATTCAAGATCTTTGATGTGCTATGCTCTGATTTTCACATCCTTTGAGTGCCGACAATCGATATTATGTTAAGCGTCATTATCCAGTCTATCGCGAAGTTAAATATTGTAGAGTAAAGGATCCAGCCTTTACGGACACCAGTTCTTGTTTCAAAAGAGTCTATCAGTTCCCCATATTCCTAATTTTAATATAGATAAGTCAAAATTAGGTGATTTAAGTCAATAATAAATCAATAATTAGTTTGTCAAGTTTACCATTTACTATTTTCCTCATCCTTCAACCACAAACTTTATTCCGAGCCAATTCGTTTCAATATAGTTAGAAATTTCTCTTTTAAATTTTTCAAAAAATTTTATAGAATTTTCAGTAATATCAATACCAATCAGTAAAAATCAGTTATTTGATGCAGCAAATAACAGAAAAAAAAGAGATTGCAGCCATTTCTAATTTCTGAGAATTTTTAAAATGAAATGTACGGAAGGTTTAGGTTTACCTGCAACATTGTCTTAACGCTTGTTCCATAGCTTCACCACTGCGACATAATGATACTCCACAATTTCCTCGGGAAAATGCAATTCCCTCGTAAAAAGAGTCAGACGGAGTTTTCACAGTAATTTTTGAATAGGGCAAACGATTAAGACCTTCTTCAACGACTAATCGTATAAGACGATCTGAATAAAACACAAAATCCGAATGGTTCGTATTCCTAAAATAAAATTGTATCTAAAATTGTATAAAAATGTAGGTGTGGAGAAAAAGTGAAAAAAATGAGTTAAGAATATTGAAAAAATTTACCAAGTAATGATGAAAAATTTGTGCAAAGTCGACAAAAAAAATTTTTTAAATTTTTTACGGGAAAAGTTAAACTATAATTATTTTAAGGCAGTGAAACGAACAAAAAATTCTCAGCGCTCTCCGCTGGTTATCAGCAGAATAAGAAGATTTTTGCTATTGAGTATTTTTCGAAGATAAAAGGCGAATTTCGCACACAATCCTAAAAAGCACTCGAAATGTCCGAACAGAATCTGTGTGGCTTCCTCAAGTAGAATAAATTCACTCCATTGCCAACACCACGCATTCGAGCGACCTGATTTCGCTTTTAATGGACCCATATATTCTCGTCGACCGAATGGTACATGAAACACGACAGTCAGAGCCGGTCATGCACAACCTTTTGTGTATAAAAGACCACGTGCAATTTCATTTTTCGCAGACGAGCAGCAATGGGAAAAAATTAAAATATTTTCAATTTTTAACGGTTTTTATTTATTTCCTTACAGTTATAAAGTCGTAATATATATTGGGAGTCGTGACTTATTGTTTAAAAAATAATTCAGCTGAAAGCTAATACCGTGGAATTGTTTTTTAAAAACATCGCAATTAAAAACCGGAAGAAGAAATATTAGTATAGAGCAGCTTAAATCAGCACGGCTAGGGCGAGTGCCAATGCGGTTTATGAAGCTGTTTTCATTCGCAGTCAAACCAATATTCACCTAACCAGTCAAATATTTAGCACTTTTTAACTCACCACACAATAAATCAAGCCAAAATCACGAGGTTCATCACCTATCTTTTGCCCCTTTAGACGGGTAGTGTAATAAGCTTCAATCAATAACAGCGTTACAAAAAAGACTTCGGTGTTCAGTGACTCAGTTGCCTCGAAATTTTGCAAAGTATTGGCAAAAACAATGAATTAAAGTTGAAATCAAAAATTGACTAAAATGTAAGTTATCCAAACATCTAATCTTAAAATTTGAGAATATAAACGCGGAAGACGGTCTCGGATGACAGAACAGAGAAGCTTTCGCTCATTTCCGTAACAAACTCCTTTAAAACACTCACACATTACGACAGGGACCAGCACGAGTAGAGCAGCAACCAGCAATTGTTGTTTTTCATTCATTTATTTGCTACTTTATTCTTTTTTACGATTATATTAACTGTTGAGATTCAATTCTGTATTAAGCAGTTTGGTTTAATTACCCAAGTTTGAGAAAATTAAAAAAAATTAAAAAAACTTAGGGTAGAAAGAACTAAATTTTTTCGTTACCGTTTCAAATATCAGTTCCACCGTTCTCACTGGAAAGATTTAGGTTTTTGTCAAACATTGCTATTGACTTTGAGAATAAATTAGCGAAAACGCCGAATTTGATACTGAGTTGGCTAAATTTGGTTATACTCGGTGTGTTCATTGCAAAATTGCGCATTTTCAAGATTTCTGTAAACAAATTTGCGGAATCTCTCAGTGAAAAAACCTGTTTGCAACCGTTTTTTTAAGAGCACTCGCCAATGCTGGTTAGACTTGTTCCGCTGGCTTTTCGGACAAGACAAATATGCCGTGGAATTGGAATTGCGATAAAATTATAGATGAGTGGCTAGCATTACGTGGACTTTTGGGCATGGTATTCCTGTCGGGAGTAGACAGGAATACCATGCTCTTAATCGTCGCTCTGAACTGAGCAACCCATTGAGCCATTCTACTTTCCTTTGCTTTCTCCGATAATGTCGCTCAACAATGCGTCGCGCGATTCGCATCCAAACCTCGATTCTCGGTGACATTGAGCCACCAACGCACCGTCTATAAGTGGTTCCAAGTAAACATGAACCGATTTTCTCAATTTTCTAAAAGATTCTTTCCGGTACTTATAGAAAATTAGTAAAATTCCTTTGAATTTCATTTTTGGTCTTCCATTATGATGCAGAACAGTCACTCCAAGCTATAATGCGCGTTCGACTCCCTTATGAAATATCGAAAGGATGTGCTTCAAAATTTAAAAATTTTGTAGTTTCCAATATATCCAACTAGCAAAATTACACTGATTTTTCTCAATCAAATAAACATTTACTTGTTCTAATAAGGCTAAAAAAATGTCGCCTCGGCTTAATCGACTTTTAAAATTTCAAATATTTCTGCAAAACCTTAATGAAAAAGTAGGGAACCAACTTATCCAAAATAATTGTCTTCAATTCAATAACTTGATCCGTTTGTTCAATAATAATAACATTTTTTGGTAAATCAGTTCCATTCACTTCATTGACGTTCATTGTCGTATTTATATATAAATTTTAAATAATAATTCAAACTAAAAACAACAAAGCGATTAAAATCATCAAACTAAGTAACTGGAAATAGTAGAATTTAAAATAAATAGTTTACAATCTAAAGCAAAAACAAAATCTAGAAGGTAAAAAAGTCAATGTTTTATCTAGGTGAGTACAAGAAAATACCATCACCAAAGCTGCGTTATTTCACTGACATACTCGCTTTAATTTTACGAATGCCTTATTTTATAAAGGATTAATCACGAATAACTTATAATTCCAGCAATAGATTCATTTCTGAACCAATTACTACCGACACTCCTCCAACTTTCCCAGAACATCAAAAAATGGACTTCGTGATTCACTTTTAAGTCGAAATTTTTCTACAACCGCACGAAAAGAAAATACAACAAATCATTCCACATAATACTAAGGGAAAACAACTTTCCCAAAAATTCGAACCAAACCCCAATACTTTCCTCAATATTTAATAAAAAAAAATATTCTACCAGCATTCAACACTTCTGGTTTGGACGACTCCACTGACTATTAGGATGAAGCCATTTACGAAGAGGCCACAACCCTGACTTTCATTGTCAATTGCAATTTTACTTCATATAAGTCAAATGGACAAGAATCGAATCTAAAACCGGCTTAACCTCGCTTGAAAAATAGAATACCATGGGCTTTATTAATTATTCATCATATACAATCAAAAATGATAAAAATAGCGATCAAATTGAATAAACAGTAAATATAATATACAATACTGAAATATACAATACTGAACAATGCCGAAAATTTTTATTTCCTTTCATCTGAAATAACTGAAAAGAAAATAAGAAAGAATTTCGAAACCCGCAAAATAAATAAAACATTATATGAAAAAAATATGTAAAAAACCTAAATCAATGCTCAGGAACTACTTTTCGCTTTTTCCGATTTATTTACACCGGAACCCATTTCATTCAAAGATCGCAAAAATCGGCTAAAAATCTGCTGCAATAAATAAGCAAACCCTTCCCTCACTCGAAAAAATGAAAAATTCTCAAAAGCAGATTAGACGAAAAAAATAAATATGCCAAAATCCATAAAACAAAAACCGCACCAGTAATGCATAATGCAGATCACTTAATCAGATTTCACTTGAACCTTTCCAATATAAAATAGAATTTTAACGAGTTTTAGTACTTAAATCTAAAGGTTGATCATCAGATAATGAATCCGACAACATATTGGACTGCCGGGCTGCATGAAGAGATGGACGCTCAAGCAATGAAGCAATTGCAGGATGACGACTAACGAAGGATAACGCAGTCGGATCATGTTGACTATCACTATCTGCCACCAATGTCGCAACATTTTCAACAGTTCTTGAAAAAGATCGTTGCAATAATGGGTCCAATTGATTAGAGTCAATTACTGAAGGTGGACTTCTATCAGACCCCACTTTAGAGCTTGTTGAATTCATAAGACTATGCTCGGACGTCGGGGATTCAGCAAGTGCACCTTGATGAATATCTGCAGCGAAATTTATCATTTGAACCTTTTCTAAATGAAGTGTATGCAAAATACGCAATTCATCAAGTATCATCTGTATCGTTAACTCATTAGGGGCCATTTGTAACGATTGCATTATGCAAATAAAACGATTATACAATAGCTGTACAACGGTTGGTTGCTTAAGTGAAACTTCTTTCGGATTACTAATTACAAGAGCAGACAATATGCTCAAATGTGTTTGGTTTAATTGATATTGGCCAATTCGTTGCAAAAAAAGTGTAATAGCATGTATAAGTGAACGACTGGAAAAATGTGAAGCAGTCATAAACGGAGGATTTGAGAAGCTTGACTGGGCAAATTGATAAGGTATTGCAGCGAGCAGAGGAACTTGAAATGATGAATTCTGAAAAAATACAAATGCAGAAATATTTTAAAATAAACTTTATAAACTAATGGATAAATAAATTCTTCTGATTAGCTAAATTTATATTAAGTAAATAAATTATAAAAACAGGTACAGTTTGTTACTTAAATTGAGCCTCTAGTTTTGCTTTTAATTTACAAAATATAGCAAAATATAGCTTCAAAATTTCTCCATCTCCAATCATGAATTTTCAAATGCAATGAATTTTCAAAAAAACTCACTTTTAATAGCTGAATACGATCTTGTTCGTGGAGCAACATATACCCAGGTACAGAATTCGCGAATTCCACAACAGCTTTCACAGTCCCATAATAATCTGTTGACCTAAACTGGAATAAATAAAGCAAAAACTACTTTTCAGAAAATTATAAAATTATATATATCAGAATTAATAATTCAGAGAATAATCTATAAAAAAATTTCTAGTCCAAAATCAAACAAAAATAATGGAAAATATACGCAATAGGGCATAATCCACGACGACTTCCCGTATTTGTGACAATTTCTTGTGCAATTACAAAAGACATTTTCCGAAAAGCAACTAAACATCCTTCTATTGCTACTTTTTCATCAAAAAGTGCTGTAATGACCGCATTGTTGAGAGACTGGATTGTGCGTGCTAAATTTTCAGCTTTTACACGTTTCGGTACTCGACCAAATCGCACGGCTGCAAAATATTTAAAATAAATGAATAAAAAAATAATTTTTTGAATTAATGAAAAAGACCAATCTTCCCGCAAAAAAAAAAATAAAAGGCTTTGTCTGTACGATTCTTATGAACCTTACAAGAACCAAGTTTAAACATAATGTTAAAAATTTACCAGTTATAAATATAATTAAAACAGAAAGAAATTAAATTAAAAATTAAGAAATTAACAGAAAGAAACATTAATGACCACCACGAACACAAATTTGAGAAATAGTGAAAACTGCAATAGGTGAATTAAGAGAAAAAAAGTGAAAATAATCCACTGATATATTTCAAGGTTATTCATTAAAAATTGAATTTTGCGATTACGGGAAATCAAAATAAAAAGTAGTAAATGAGATACTAATCATCTTTAAAAAAATTGTTCTCAGTAACAGTAGATATAATCAGATCTCCAAACTAAATTTTCATTTAAGAATGAAATGAAATAAACAATATTGTCAAATTATTTCATCAGTAGCATACAAGTAATGAATTAATAAAAAAAAAGCAAGTACGAACCGTCACGCGACATACCGACCTCTATACACTTCTTTAGCCTGCAGTATTGACATCGATTCCGATTATTACGAGAAATATCACATTGCCCATTTTTTGCACAAGGCCGATAGTCAAGACGTTGTTGTATTGAACGACGATAAAAGCCCTGTAAACTAGAATTAGCACGATTTTCTAATATTCTATGAAAATGACTTTGCATTATTTGCAAAATTTAAATTACAATGGAGAAGAGTTCGTAAAAACTTTTAATGAATAATATTACCTTGCAACCTTCACAAGCATTCACACCATAATGAAAACCAGATGATCGGTCTTTGCAAACTTCACACGGTGGTACAGCTTGGTTAACTGTTCCTTAAAAAGATTTCGCTCAATATTTTAGCTCTAATAAAACTAATATTCAAAAATGTAGAATGAATGAACGAAAAAAGCAAAACTGGATTTTGAAAGCAAGATGAAACGAAAAAGAAGAGAAATTTCAATGGGAACGTTATGACCTTGAACGTTAACATAAAAACCAGCCAATTGATAGGAAATGGAGGAGACTAGGTGACCTAGATTGCATAGACTGCATCAGGTCGCAAGGTCAAACGCCGCGTGTTCTCTTTTTCTCATAAAATCATCAATATTATTATCTCTTTTTCCATTAATATTTGAAGCAAACATCCACCAATCTACTCAAATCAAGTGATTTAGGCCCTGCTTCAATTTTTACTGTTAAATTAACCGCAAAATTATTTCTATTAATTAAAAAATGGAAATAAAGATGAAATAAAATGGAGGAAACTATAAGTTTTAAAAATACAAGTTCCTTGCGAATAAATCAAAAATGAAAAAAAAATCTATCTTACCACTCGGACTTGCTTCAGATCCTTGACTGTCCACCGGTGATTCGTTCTCTAAAGCATATGTCAGAGATGCAATTACAGAAGTCAAAAAATATTCGCATGAAGTTGACGACTGAATCGGCTTAAACGCAGAATTCGCACCACCGCTAAACATTGTTGAAGGTGATAACGATGGTATATTAGACGGCGTTGGTAATACAGGAACCATTGGTAATCGAAAAGCAATCACTGGTTTCGATGTTTCTGGACCGGGTACAAGCATTTGATCGCAACTGAAATTTGTTAATTTAGTTAGATTTTTCTTCTAGCTTTATAAATAGTGGCAAATTTACAGATAAGTTTGATTTTTAAGACACAAATTCAAAGCGACGACTAGTTAGAAACTGACAACGACCGAATCACCTCCATTCGTCACATACAAGGTCGACTTGATTTTGTCTTTTTCTCTACAACAGCTCTTTGTCGAAGTGCACCTATAGGTCGAGGTCAACTCCCAATTCTTCCCTTTTACGAACTCCATTCTTTTATTTCGAAAATAAATCATGATTACATTATCATTAATGACATTAATAATAGTGATAAAATTTCTCAATCATTATTCTTGTAATTCAGTGATTATTCCATTTTCATACGTTTGAATCCTGAATAAAACCGGTGTTCTTTTTGCATTATTGATCATTATCATTGATTAATAGCTTGCTACTGAATCTTTTAATTCTTTGGTAGATTTCTGTCTTCTTTCTTGGCTATTTTAAATGACTTTTCGTAATAAAAATTATCTTAGTTTCCAAATTTCTTGAAAAGCATAATTATGTAAAGATATTAAACAGATTTGTCTTTCATTCAATAAACCATTTTCATTTATAGTTCGTCATCATCATCAAAATTATTTTCTTCAATAAGGCTTAAGCATTCTTCATTTTTCATTTTTATCGTGTCGTTGTGTTTTAAGTGATCACTGTTTGACTGCAAAAATGCAACACCCAAAAATGAAACAGTTATTGGAAACGTAGCCACCAGCTGAATCACATTTGGCGGTTGTGATCGCAATAACTAAAAAATCTTAACAATCAGAAGTTCAACGCGAAAGTCCATTTAGTAATACTCACTATTAAAAAACTACTTAAAGAAATGACTATTAATAAAAACGATTATAAAATAACTGTAAATAAAATTACAAAGAGTAACTATCTTTTGTGACAATTAGCAAGCATTAATATCTGGAAATCTGGTAAAGCAACAGGATCAACTCAGACGCCTAGGCAAAGGAGGAAACTGCTCAAGGATACACTATTTTTCTTTAAATGGTATTACGCCCGGATATAAAAATAATTTTAGAGAGAACTTTAATGCCAGTCTTTAATCAATGTTTGAAATCTTATTACTTTCTAAATACACATCTATTTCATTATTTAATTTTTTTTCAAATAATTTCCTCACTAAGAGAAGTATAGTACACACGTTTTTTTGGCAGCAATTTTTCAGAAGGTTTAAAAGGTTAAGGTCCTAGGAAGTAAAAGCAGCAAGAAATGTTTGCCTATCGCAGTTTAATGTGCCGTAAAATAAAATTTTAAACTATTTGAAAATGACTCTTTCCGCTAATCAAATGACCAATTTTTAAAAATTAAAAAACTCACAGTATCTGCTATGAACGATAATGGTATACACATCGATAATGATATAGAACTAGCGAGCGAACTAGTCCAAATCGTTCCTTTCAACCATAAAAAATCGCTAAATAAATTATTAACCCCATTCAAAATTATTATGGAGAATTGATAAAAATTTGGTAATGGAAATAGCGGTTCGATTTTGAAATAATCGAGAGATAACATCACAGGTGCATATAAAAACAACGTTATCACGCCCACAAAGCCTGCAAAATTTTCACACTTTTTTAAAAAGTAGTAAATTAACAAAAAAAATCAAAGTCTCTAATTCAATTGATCGCTTTAGGCTTAGCTTTTAAGTATTTTTAAATAATATATTGATAATATATAATATTGATTTTCTGCTCTTAAAATAAGATCGGCAATTAACCAATTTGATGACCTAATTCATATTTTTCATATACGTAAAACAAAATTCACTTTTAAATCCATTCAATATGATCGCTAAAAAACGAATCTCTCTTATTATCATTTAACTACTTTATTATTTATTATTTAAATCTGCATTTTAATATGGCATAATTTAGAATAAACAAATATCAATTCCACCAATGAAATAAATTACGAAAACTTCAACTTTCAATGGAATAAAAAAACTGAAATGAGAACTAAAACACAAAAAAAATAATTTCTATTATAAAATTCATATAAAATTTATTCTATTTTCAGGATAGTCGCGAGTGATTATTGCTGATCATTTTGAGATGGCTCCTGCTTTCGACTCAATCTGCCAATAAACAATATGTGCCGATACGTGAGTGGTGCTGATCCACCTTTTGTTGCAAATAACTCGTTGGTAAAAAATTTCCAACAATACTAATATGAAATCAATAGGGCGCCCCCAAGCAAAAATCGCAAAATGAATCATTATAAGATTAGATAGCATGAAGTTTCAACAAATTTATTATATTTTATTGAGAATCTATATATGAGAATTTAAGCATAAGGAAATAATAATTTAATTAATATTAGTAATAATAATTTCATATATTTCTCCACTGCTGCTCATGAAAAAGGAAAAAAAGAAAAGAATACCAACCTAACAAAAAATTTATATCAATATCGAGACCTTGATACTGAAAATAAGAAAACATCACTAGATATAAAGCATATAGAAATGATGATAGCAAAGCGAGCAATGCACCATATGTCGAGATTGAATATTCGGTTACTAAGAAAACACCTGCAAAATAAATCATTTTCATATGGAAGGAAAAAAAATTTTAGCAAAAAATATTAACCAGTTAAGGAAACGAAAAACATCTGAAACACGTTGACAAACAAATAATCATGGAGAAATTAAATATTATAAAACGAAAAAAATTCGGACTTCTCAATTCCAAAATGATCTAATATCAAAAATGAAGAAAGTGAAGTGAAGAAAGAAAAGAAAGAAATTTAGACTATCATTTCGTTAGGACTCATCCCTCACAGGAATAAATCTGTCATTAAAAAAATGCCACTGCGACTTAAAATGACTACTCAGTTTCAAAAATTTCTCATTTAATCAACAATCAGTGAAGCACGCCCAATGGGAAATGGTGAGTGTAAAGTAAATCTGCAAAATTTATAAGTAAAGTAGATTTGTCTAAAGCAGAAGCATAGACCTACTTTTGCATTTTTTTCCATTTTTTCTACTTTTATTTTCAAAATTGGTTTATAATAATGCAATTTAAAAGCAATCATCAAATTCTTCTTCTTCTAACAGCTCTCACTATTACTGGTTAGGCTGGCTCCAACGGCTACAAGAGTTAGACGCTTCCAAGCGGCCCGGTCTGATGCCATCGTCGACAGTAATGGAAGCCATTCCTTTTTCCTCGCCTAAGTCCATATATTGCTGGTCCACCTCTACGTTCAAAATCTTTTCTCGCCGTATCAGTCCAGATCTTGATTGGCCCATCTCGCTTTTGACGCCAACCATCACACGGTTTAGCAAATAAAGTCATCGAATTAATAACAATAAAAACAAACTAGAAAAAACTAACCAAATAAATTAAACATAACCAAGAAGAGCTTTGTTAAAGTAAATTTATCTGAAGCGGTAACAAAACACACTACGGATAAAACGAGAACAAATAATGAAGAAGAAGCTGATATTAAATTTACAGTCGATACATTTGAAAATAACAAAGATCCTTGATATGTTAAACTTGAGATGATCCACTGCAAAAAATTTCATTACAAAAATATAAAATACCCTAAAAAAAGATAATTAGACTGAAGTTTTCCATTCTGATTTTATTAAAAAGCCACAGCTATTCTCACCATTATTGATAAAAGGAAGATATATTTGAAACTGCGTGGAAGATATTCACATAAATATTGAGCACCCGAATAAGGGAGTCGCGCTTGCTTGGCCTCATCAGCTATTGAAAGTGGCATATGACGAATTTCACGCAACTGCAAAAATAGATAAATTTTTTCAACACATCTGAAATATATTTCAAAGAATCACTATTAAAATTTCTGTGAAATAATATCTTCCCGTCTGAATATTGATTATCATGCTTACCTGAGAGAAATGAACACGTCGAGGTAATCTAAACGACTTTTCTACATCGCTTTCCTCGCTAACAGAAATTTGTTCAAATTCAGCCGGAGTCTAAATTTGATAAAAAATTTTATAAGTGGTATTATTAAAATAATCTTACCGTTTGTATCCTAAAAACTATGCTTCAAATAAATGCAAATTATACAAGCAATGAATATTAAAAAAGAAGCAATCACCAGAAGCTCCACATTTGTTTCCTTCTTTTCAATACATGAACTTTTTTCCAACGTCTATAACAAAAATTGTTAGAAAAGAATCAAAAATGATTATTAAAAAATAAGATGGTTTTAAAAAAAGATCCAAAAAAATCTCCAACAAATTTTTATAGTTTTCACCCACTTTTTATAAAATAACCACATGCTTAATGTTATTCTAAGATAAGTCGGCACAAAATTAGAAATAATTCAAAAAAAAGATACTTTGTTCGTTATAGATGAGCTCTTAAATAGCAAATAACGAATAATGTAAACTGCTAACATACTCAATCTAATTGACGACACAAAGAATGGTCGTCGAAAATTCAAATCAACAAATATATACTGAAAATATAAAATGTTAATGAAATAAAATGCCATTTTGAAAAAATAAAATAATAAAAAGATCGAATTTAAAATTATTAAAACATAACGAAAATTACCACTCAAATAATAAAAATTTAAACGAAATTTTTTTTTTCACTTTTTCCATTTCTCATTCCATGATAATTTTTCTTTTTAAAAACACATTCCGACATGTATGATATCCCATTTCATGCGATAAATATGTGAATTAAGCTTAGATATAACGGCAAGTAAGAACGGCCGTATAAATTCTAGAGCTGAAAAAGTTGCTATAATCCACATAAAAAAGTCGAATAAAAATCTTTGTATGTGCGGCAATGTTTGGCTATGGCAGAGTGGAACATTAGAACGGATGCAGGAAGCCAGGCGATAATCATCTATACCCTAATCCAAATATCATGTGAAAATTTGCATATTAGAAATTCGTTTTCCTAATTCTTTGCCCAAACCATTAACTTACGCCTGCTTTAAAGGCAAGTTTTGCAATATCTTGGTTGCCATGCACTGATTTCTGTTATTGGTTTAATTTGGGTCCTGCTTCTAACCATAATGGTCTAACCTAGAGAAGTTGCCAGTTTCACCTTTGCTACCTTTGTTATATGTGCCGTTATATAATAATATAGAACTTCCATATTTTTCCAATAGAAATATAGTCAATCTGATCAGTGTTGATTTTTTGGGAAGATTCATATAAATTTTAGATTCTGTAATATCTTCTGTAATGCCGAAAGCATTTATTGGCAAAAAGCTCAAGCTACTCAGTGGTTTTTTGAGAATCCAAGATTATTTCACTTTTTTAACGTTATGTCTTAAAGGCAAAATAATTTTCAATCATAAGCTAAGGAGAAAGGAAAATTCTCCACTGTACATATATAACAGCAAAATACACAAAATCTCGATTGAAGACTCAAAAATTTGATACATAACTCTAAAGAAGGAGAGAGAAAGTAAGCAGGGTCTCAGAAGAAACGGTTCAGCTGTCCACCAGGCTGCCACAGCACGTATCAGTAGATGCTAGTAGATGCAAGATGACAGCTCTATTAATTCGCATAAGGCGTGGAGAAATGGTACAAAAATCGAAACTGAAATGATATGGCTTTGAATATGGAAATAATAGGTGATCATCGAAAATTAAAATTATTTCCTACTTCACCTCACCTGGAGCTCGTCTGACCTGAAGAAAAATCTTTCAATGAAAACTTAATCACCATCCAGGACCACCCAATATTCTGTGAGCAGTACGACTGCGCACCGAGATAACTTTTATAACTCACGAGCTTAGATCCAGTAAAACCTTCGAAGATGGCAAGAGCTAAAATCTTTAAATACTGCCCAACGTCCTTCATAATACCTGTGGAGATTATAACCATTGGTTTCGGAAAAGAAATAAATACCATGACTGGAGCAAGGCAGTTCTGCTCCCAATTCACAAAAGAATACTGCAGCAACTATCGAGGAATCAACAATCAACTTGCTAGATGTTTCTGGGAATGTTTTTCCCACTCTTCTGCTGAATGGACTCATAATGGTGAATGCTAGTAAGACACGCTCTAATCAAACTGGATTTAGGTTGATTGTGTTGACCAAATTTTCACCCTGAATATTGGAATCTCTTTCAACTGTCGACAATTTACGATTGCGTGCTTCATTGATTTTAACCATTTTTGATTCGATCAACAGGAAAGCTGGCAATTTATATGATATGACAGCGTTCCAGAGAAATTGATCTAATCGGACTTATGAAAGTATTCTATAGGTACAGGCCAGAGAAAGACGTATGTATGTAGAAAAGAGCGATAAAACCTTTTAAAATATTGATATTTTTTAAAACCTTGATAAAAAATATAGATACGCATCTCACCTATAATTCCCAACTATCCAACAGATTATTATGCAGATACCGCTTGACAGCACTCAAGAATGTATAGAAATGACATAACCCAGAGCACAGTACCACAGATTTTGATATGTTGATGATAATGTGAAAAACTGCAACAGATGCGAGATTGGATGTGGGCAGCAACAGTGAAAATTGGTTCAAATCGATGTAAATAAGTCGAAACTTTTCCTCATAAATATTAAATAGGCCACTGATGAGAATATATAAAATCACAATTTATAAAAATTCATCAATGGTCTAAAGAATTTCACCTCGTCCCTATACCTGGCAAAAGAAATTTCAGCCAGAGATGTCTTCTTTTATTCATGAAAATCTCCCTGGAATCGCCATGAAATAATTAACCTCAAAAAAAAGTTCACATCTATCTGTACTATCTTAAATAAACGAAACTTAACCAATGACAGTGAAACATATCTATCTGCCTTCGATTATTCTTTGATACAATAAATTCTACGTATTCACCAAGTGGATAGAATCTCATATGACTGAATCCATCTTCAGTATCACCTGCATTAAGAATATCGCCACAAAGAGCCGTCTGCGCTGGTTTTTTTGGTCAAATGCCTTATACCAGTCACCAGTAAAGTGAACTAAACCAACGATGTGAGGTGCTAGAAGAAGTTTAAAATTTTGAGAAGTTAAACAGAAAGTAGACATAATAAAAAGTAATAAATAAAATTTAAAAAATATTTGATAAATGTTAAAATAACAAAAATAAATGATTAATTATGATTATAATTAAAAATAAATGATTAATTAAGCAGATAAATCAAAATCCATGTATAATCCTAATTTTCTTGAATATCTAATATAAGATAAATGAAACAAAGTAGTTATAACAAATAGTAATAAATTAATTGTAAAATAGTATAATTAAAAGGCAAATTATTCAAAAACCTTTAATAGAATAAGAGAAACAGAATAAGCGACCGTTTATATCTTATGCGATGAAATTAAATAGAATAAAAAATAACGATGAAAATTCTGTGGAAAGCTGCAGAAATCAAAATTTATTTATAAGGAAATAGCGAAACTATAGGAAGCGAAGGATAGAGAATTATAAATTATTTGAAATATTATAATGTCATATTACAACGACTATTATAAAGAAATATTACAACAGTCAGAAAAAATATACAAGACCAGAAATGGGAAAGAAAACAACATTTCTGGTAACGCCAATCCAAAGGTACAATATACTTTAAAAAAAAGTATATTGTAAGCCATTGTCAACAAATAAAACTAATTCAGCATTTCAAATAGGGAAATTTTCATTATTTTATTGGTAAAAAAATGTTTTAACGTACTCGTGTAATTTCGGCGCCCGAAACCCATAAAATATTAACAATTATAAGAAGCAAAAGGCCATAAAAGTGGCGAAATCTTGTAGAAGAGGCCTTTAAAAATTCACTATAAACCATTAAATATTTACCTGAAAATAATGAAAACATTTTTCACATATTCAAACGAGATTGTCGGGCGACATTGTCGAAAAGCGGAAAAAGCAAATGAAAGAATGGCTTAGTGGGAGCTTGGATGCTAAGGTTCTGTTCCCGACAGTAAACCTGTCCAAAGATCTCCAAAACGGGTGCTGCTGGCAACTCAGCCGTGTTTCTATCACAAGGGATTTCCTTGTTTAACTCGAAAAGGAAGCGAGGCGAGTCTGACCAGCTGTGGTGAGTGCTCTTCTCCTCTTAAAAATATACATTTTTCCAGTCCCTGCCGCTCTTTCGAAAACTTTTGTTGCATAACCTTGGATTTCTAATTATAAAAAAGGTTTCATTTCGAAATATATAAGAAAACTTGATAAATTTGCATTTAATTATTCTGAAAGAGCATTAATTTCGGAAATTTTGTTACTGCAGCAGAAGATGAAAATGAAGGAATTTGTCGGGCCAAAACCGATGACTCTTACCACTATTTTCTCCCCTATTATACAACTAATATAACTAATAAATGTCAAAATTTAGAAAATCGATTCTTACTTGATGATTAAGTCTTCCAGTGGCGTTTTCTTTTTAAAGCTCTAAATGTGATCCGACCGATACAATCGAAAAATTTTTCTTCGATAAAGCAAATCAACCAAAATCGGCTATCAATGAAAATCATACAATGCAACCTGAAAAAACCGCAATCAACGAACATATGGCGCACATCTGTTTAATAAAAACAATCAAACGACTGATTTTTATTTGGCAATCTATTTGAAGAGAAATGGCTGAAAACGAAGCCTGTGGTACTAAAAAGAGAATTTCGAAATTCAAAAGCTACTTTCCTAAATTCCTAAATCCAAAACTTATTTCTTTCTTTTGCACTGCACGAGGTAAGTTAATTAATAAACTAGCAGTACTTTCATGAAATAAAATATTTTTTAAGTTTCAATTTCAGTTTTTTCCAACTTCAGTTTCTGGAGAAAAATTTTAGATAAGAAAGGTAGCAAAATTTCAAATCTACTCCGAAGACTTTCAACCCCTCCCATAACTCCCACAGCAATAATTCCATACTCGCAGTATCGTCAATATGGATAGACTTATATTCCAACGCTCGCAACCTATCTTTTACCCGCCCAAAACTGTACTCACGCGTCGCATTGACATATGGAGATAAAACATTGGATTTTTATCTGACCTGGTGGGGGTTGGGGTGGGGCTGTCGCTCGACGGGTTTCCGTATTCGTATGATTACGTTTGCAGTATTAGTTTCCTTAGTCGAATGAGCAGTAATTTTAATAATAATTCTCTGCTTATTGCAATCAGGTTCAACAGAATAATGAGAATAATCAGCCTTCGACTAACATACTTGAAACTTTACTCGCATCAAACTGACGAAATCGAGGGGAATGCCGAAAATCTCTGAAAAATAACAACGAACAATTCATTTGCCTGCTGAATCTCCATCGGCAAATTAATATTCATATAAAATTACGTTTGACAGTGTTGCAGAGATGTGCAGTTTCGCATCGGATGAGTTAAATTTGAGTGAATTAAGTCGAAAATAAGTCAATTCTATAGGACCAAAAAGCACTTCAAGTGAGGGCAGACATCATGGATTTGGTCTCTGCTGAAGAGAAACAAGCCTATCTGTTTGGAATCCAACTGTACCTTTATTCTCGATTGACTTTCTGGCCAAATGGTCTAAAATTAGCCATTATGTGAAAGCAGTAGAATTTTTCAGTTGAATTTTACAATCTATAGTTTGGCAACAAACGTGCTATCAGTTAAAATGGT